CTGAGGACCAAAGAAGGAAAATGGACTAACGTGTAACTCCTGTCTTTCATCAACCCAGAGTGGATATTCTGTTCTTGAATATTCTGTTCTTGAAACCTTTTCCTGAGGTTTCAGGCACCTCTACAGAGTTTCATTCCCATTGCATTCTTCCCATACATCTAGTTTTTGCCTAATCATCATGTAAAAGTCAATGAAAGCATCACCTTTTCAAGAAAGCATTTCCTGACATCGTCTCCTCACATATCCTACCAATTCCATCCTGGGTAGTATCCTGGGTAGACCTCCTTTTTAAAATGGAGTGAAGCAATCATTTCACTCCATTTTAACTGTACTTGGAATCTCTCTCAATAGGCTATGACCCCAGAGTCTTTTATCTGCATAAAATGATTGGCACATTGTGACTGCTCATTACATGTTTGTTAAATAAATGAACGAAGCAGTATTTTTAGGTGAGGCTTTTAGTTCATATTAGAGCCTCTGGAATCAACATTGATAAAACAGGTCAGAAGAGCTTACCTCCAAAGGCACCCAGTACCCAGGTATTTAGGATTACTGTAGAGGTCCTTGAGAGAATTGGCCAAACCAGAAATCATAAATCTTTGTTTCATGCGTCCTTAAGACTGTCCAGATTGATCTGTCCTTGATGAAGAGTGGAGAATTTCTGTTCTTTAACGTGGTTTTATCAGGCTTTTGAAGTGATATCTACATCCCAAAAATAGAAAAAACTTTCTTGTAATGTACGGACAAGAACACTTGAAAGGTTATAAATGCTGGCTGATCAGATAAGCAAAATTTCAAAGAACAATAAATTATTATTTACATATATGTAACCATATAAAGCTCACAGCTCCAATGAATAGAAGAGGGTAGACTCTGGTATTCACCTTGAACCATAAAATTTTTAAAAATGTTTATTTTTTTATTTCAAGTATAATTAACATACAATGTTAGATTAGTTTTAGGTTTACAATAAAATGACTCAACAATTCTATACATTACTCATTGCTCATCACGATAAGTGTACTCTTAATCCCCTTCACTTATTTCACCCATCCCCCCACCCACTTCCCCCTTGGTAACCACCAGTTTGTTCTCTGTATTTAAAAGTCTGGGAGCCTGGGTGGCTCAGTCATTAAGCGTCTGCCTTCGGCTCGGGTCGTGATCCGGGGGTCCTGAGATTGAGCCCTGCATTGGCCTCCCCGCTCAGCGGGAAGCCTGCTTCTCCCTCTCCCACTCCCCGACTTGTGTTCCCTCTCTCGCTGTGTCTCTGTCAAATAAATAAATAAAATCTTAAAAAAAAAGTCTGTTTTTCTGTTTGTTTTTTTCCTTTGTTCATTTATTTTGTTTCTTAAATTGCACCTGTGAATGAAATCATGGTATTTGTCTTTCTCTGATTGACTTATTTCACTTAGCATTATGCCTTCTAGGTCCATCCATGTTGTTACAAATGGCAAGATCTCATTCTTTTTTATGGCTGAGTAACATTCCATTGTGTATATATACCACATCTTTATTCATTCATCTGTGGATGGACATTTGGGTTGCTTCCATATCTTGGCTATTGTAAATAATGCTACAGTAAACATAGGAGTGAATCTCCCTCTCTCCCTCTCTCTCTCTTTCTCTTCAAATTAGTGTTTTCATTTTCTTTGGCTAAATACCCAGTAGTGGAATTACTGGATCATAGGGTAATTCTATTTTTAACTTTTTGAGGAACCTCCATACTGTTTTCCACAGTGGCTGCACCAGCTTGGATTCACACTAACAGTGCACAAGTGTTCCTTTTCCTCCACATCCTTGCCAACACTTATTTCTTGTGGTTTTGATTTTAGCCATTCTGACAGGTATGAGATGATGCCTCATTATAGTTTTGATTTACATTTCCCTGATCATGAGTGATGATAAGCATCTTTTTTTTCATGTGTCTGTTGACCATCTGAATATCTTCTTTGAAAAAATCTCTACTCATGGATTCTGCCCATTTTTAAATTGGATTATTTGGGGGTCTTTGGTGTTGAGTTGTGTAAGTTCTTTAAATAGTTTCGATATTAACTCTTTATTGGATATATCATTTGCAAATCACTTCATTCAGTTGGTTGTCTTTTTTGTTTTGTTGTGTAAAAGCTTTTTATTTTGATAAATAAAAAATAGTTTAATTTTGCTTTTGTTTCCCCTGCCAAAGGAGACATATCTAGAAAAATGTTTTTACGGCTCATGTCAAAGGGATTATTGCCTATGTTTTCTTCTAGGAATTTTATGGTTTCAGGTCTCACATTTAGTTCTTTAATCCATTTTGGGTTTATTTTTGTGTATGGGATAAGCAAGTGTGAACTTTATTTTATCCCTGATGTTTTTGTCTGTTTTCTCCTCATCTCTATCATACCCTTCTTGTTTTTCCTTTTGTGTGTCTTTATTATCTGTTATCCTTCTCTCGTCTCTTTCTTTGCTTGGCTTCCCATTTCTACCTATCTCTGCTCTTATTTTCTCTTTTTGGCATTTCTTCCTATAGCCACATAGAACTGAAAAACATTTTAAAGACTTTATTGTACCTATTTTATAAAGGTACTTTAATACTTCCTGCATTTAATTTAAAAGCAGGTGAATTGATTATTTTACATTTTTACTCTTCGTAGCCCTTTACTGATTTTGGTCATCTCAAATTCAGGGGTCCTCCAGAGAAGAAATGTTCCCCATTTTAAATATGGCCACTCAAGACCATCTGAGTATCTGTAGGCCTATCCTTTTCCAATTGTCTTTGGTCCCAAGAGTTTACCCTGGCTTAGATTGCAAGTTATAGTTCATCCAATATCTGAAAAACAACTCCAGAGTTAGACTTTTAGATTATAGTACTTTAGAATTTGAGAAGGACTTTGGGTACTATTTAATCTTAAGGATGAAAAAGCTGTGAACCAGAGAGGTCTTGCAATTGCTCAAAGCTGTGTAGTTGGTAAATGACAAATCTAGGATTAAAGCCTTGATTCAGAGGAGCTTTTATATGATGGAAGAGTGGTGCTTATTTATATATTGGAATGGTCTACTAAGCTTGGGAAAAAAGGGAAGACTCTGCCAAAAAGTCAGGGAAATATAAAAAGAATAATAAAGTCCTGTAAAAAATTTAAAAACCATTGATCGTATGGATCCAGGATCCTAAATCCTGGAAAAGAAAATGTATATGGCATGTGCTTGATGTCAGTGTACATATGTACATAGTTGTACAAATTTCTGATTCATTTGAACAAGCCTTGATCTTATTGCTTTTAATATTTTTCTTCTTCCCTATATTGTAGGAAAGAGCTATATGAATTTTTAGACTTTTTGATAAAACATTTTGATATTAAGGCTTGAAATAACCTTTCAAATACAGTACAGTTTAAATAGCAGTTCCCATTAATATTTTCACCAGACTAGTGGAAGCCTCCCCACCTCGTTTGCTGTTGGAAGGACTGCTGTCACACAAGGGGTGTTGACAACTGATCATGCAGGAATTGGGAAGAGATCATTTTTCTAATCATATTGTAGAAGACAACCCAAAAACTGTTGATACTGTACCTTGATTAATGAATGTATAGAAAAAGGTGAATTCTGAAGACATTTTAAACGACTAAAAGAAAGGACACTGGCACCACAATGAGAACTGTTTTATTAGATGATTTATGTTTTAGTCAGCTATGAATGAACAGAGGCAATGAGTGTGTCCAGTTCTGTCTAGAAATTCAAATAAAAAGAAAATGAGATGGTGAGTATGAGACTCAATGATGTTTCATAAAAACAAGGATTACGTGCAAGCTTGTACTATAAAATTTAAACATTCTTTAGTGTGTCACCCAGGTCCTCCTGATTTTCCCCACAATATGAGAGTCAGAGTGTCAGGAACAGGTTGTTCTACTCCCACTGTATTTTTCAAGCGGGGAGCCTGCTTCTCCCTCTCCCTCTGCCCCCCCCACTTGTGCTTGCTCTGTCTCTCTAGTGATCTCTCTCTCTCAAATAAGTAAATAAAATCTTTAAAAAAAAAAAGCAGATTTATTCTTAGGCTAGGTTGCTCACTGAAGTTCTGTTTACTTGTAAGCAATACACATTTATTGAGCATTTGTGATGTGTCAGGCTCTGCACTAGGTGCTGGATATTAAAGATAAACATGATTTAGGTCTTAATCCTCAAAGAAATGATAATCTTGTGAACAGGTGTATCATTTAGAGTTTTTGAGTCATTGTGTGAATGAATTAGAGATGGAATAGTAGATAGTCTTTGAGTTCTGACATATTTGAACACGTCAGCCAACAAGTAAATGACCTATTTCTTCTCCGCTAAGGAAGATACTTTCAGTATCTTTCAGTTTGTGGAAGACATGACTTTTTGGACTTTTAACTTCTAGACAATTTCTAATTTTCTTTTTTTAAGATTTTATTTATTTATTTGACAGAGAGAAACACAGCGAGAGAGGGAACACAAGCAGGGGGTAGTGGGAGAGGGAGAAGCAGGCTTCCCGCCGAGCAGGGAGCCCAATGCGGGGCTCAATCCCAGGACCCTGGGATCATGACCTGAGCCAAAGGCAGTTGCCCAACAACTGAGCCCCCCAGGCACCCTGACAATTTCTAATTTTAATTAAATAGGATTTTCTTTCAAATTCCCTTGCTGTGGCTGCTTTCTCTTCTGAGATGGTTGACAGCAGCACTGTAATATACCAGAATTATTATCTAGAAATTAAATAATGTGTTTGAGATCTGTACACAAAAAAATTCAGAGACCCTCTATTACAGATTCATCCTTAGATGTGACGCTGTCTAATTTGATGCTTGATATCATCTTCTCCGTCTCTGTTCATTGCTAGTTTGTAAGTAGTTATTTTTATAGGAAATATCATTCTTATGTTCCTTCCCACATTGCTGCATGTATGAACCAGAAGAAATTCACCATGGCTCACTGATGAGAACACAGAAGAAAGAATGGTTGTCACATTCAGGAGTGGGCAGCACTGTTAGTTACTCTTCTTTGTTTTACAGAGATGAACGAAATCAGTCCATCATCGTAAGTGGAGAGTCTGGGGCAGGAAAAACAGTCTCAGCTAAGTATGCCATGCGATACTTTGCAACTGTGAGTGGTTCTGCCAGTGAAGCCAATGTTGAGGAAAAGGTCTTGGCCTCCAACCCCATCATGGAGGTAAGATAGGAGCCGCCTTGGCCTTCTTACTATATTCTCTTAAGAAACCTGCTCAGAAACTTATTGAAACAGCACATGTCAGAAAGTCTGGGCTCTCCCAGCCGCTAAAAGTAAGAAAATACTTTTCCACGTATTAGTAAGAAGAGATCTATGAAAAGTAAAAAGTTAGTAAGGTAGCCATTTGAGTAAAGTGATTTGAGAAGTATCTACTTTATTCCATAATCCTGCATTTTTAATCTACCATTGAGCTGTTGCCTCTAAATAACTGGCAGTGGTACCTCATTTTCTAAATCTCTATTCTCCTAGTTAATCAACTCATATCTATTGTTCCTTGTACTGGAAGTATGTTTCTCATTTCCCCCCATTTCTGAGTTCATAGGGATTCACTATACCCAAGTATGATGAATTTTATCATTCCTTTGCCCACATTTCATTTTCTATACTTAGCATAGAAAGTTTAGCTGTAAGTTTAGCTGTTTCTTTTTTTTTTTTTCCAGATTTGAACTATAGGCTTAAATCATGATCTTGTAAACACTTTTCTTCTTGTTTCTGTGAAGCACATCACACAGCTTTAGGTTAGAGAAAGAAATTCGGTAGCTATAAATTCCTGAGAAAGGAAGAACTACGAAAGGATGTCCTTTCAAAAGTAAAATATGTATACAGAGCAGAAATGCTCATGGCAAAGAAACTGGACCTGTTTGTGTGAAAATTTGAGTATTTCAGAATTTGTAACTAGAGAATGATCTATTAAGGTGATTTTAGGAAAGTCACATTTTTGTAAGTAGTCCCATTAAATGGAAAAAAGTAATTCTCTTTACTAATAGAAATTATTTTGGACAGGGAGAAACAAGCCTTTCTTATTAAAAATTTGAGTCAGCATTTTTTATTCCTGTTTTTTCCCTTGGTCAAGCCTTCCTTGTCACCCAAACACAGACGGAGTTTAGAACTGGCCTGATGCACCTGTGGTACGAGTGGTTTTTGCAGTAATCAGTCCAGAGGTAACTGTGCCTGGTTTGCAGTGCCGTGTGTGACACTTGAGAACAGACTGTTGTGCCCCCTGGCCTGCGGGGCTGCCCTCCAGAGCAGGAGGACCTCTGTCCTTGGGACCAAGAGGACAGGACGTGCTGGGGGAGTTCAGGGCTGCCTGGGCCAGGTGCACTGTGCAGAGAGAACTGGAGGAGTTTTCTGAAGTAGCACAGATGGGGGGCCGGGGGGAGCAGAAGTGTGTGCCAAGAAGACTAGTAAAGGTTTTAAGCAAGTATTAAGATTCTGAAAGAATTTAAGCTACAGATACAGTGCTGGATGCCATTGTTAATATTGGGGAGATATAGGGCGCCTGGGTGGCTCAGTTGGTTAAGCGACTGCCTTCAGCTCAGGTCATGATCCTGGAGTCCCAGGATCGAGTCCCGCATCGGGCTCCCTGCTCGGCGGGGGGGTCTGCTTCTCCCTCTGATCCTCTTCCCTCTCGTGCTCTCTGTCTCTCATTCTCTCTCTCTCTCAAATAAATAAATAAAATCTTTAAAAAAAAAAAAAAACCAGTATTGGGGAGATATAACCCGTAGAGCCAGTTTTTGGTTTTGGGTCAGAAAACAACAGGGCTTTGCTTTGCTTCCTACCATTAGTTTGACTATTTTTGGCCACAACAACAAATTCTGTATATTTGGCAGTAGTTTAATTCATTCTTAGTCCCTAATGTTAGAATATCCCAGTCTAGATTTTTGATGGCATCAGGGAATCCCAGCTCTTCTAGGCTGGACCATATAATAATGTAAGTCTGGAGTGAACCTTCTAGAATATGTCTAGAATATTTTAGGTTTACAGACCTTCTATATCATCATTCAAAAAATGCTACATTGTTTTTTCTACAATACAGATTTGCATTGTGTTAGTAGGAGAGATTAAAATGGCCATAGATCCTAGTTTTTTTTTTTTTAATTTTTTTTTTAAAGATTTTATTTATTTATTTGACAGAGAGAGAGAGAGACAGCAAGAGAGGGAACACAAGCAGGGGGAGTGGGAGAGGGAGAAGAAGGCTTCCTGCTGAGCAGGGAGCCTGATGCGGGGCTTGATCCCAGGACTGGGATCATGACCTGAGCTGAAGGCAGACGCTTAACGACTGAGCCACCCAGGCGCCCCCATAGACCTTAGTTTTTAATACGTAGTTATAAGGAATTTATTTTATTTGCTGGGATGAACAAAAAAAGATAAAGGCATCAGTTATGCTTAGCTATTCCCTTCTATATTGTTATGTAGTTTTTCTTTTCTAAAGATTTATTTATTTATTTATTTGAGAGAGAGAATGAGAGACAGAGAGCACGAGAGGGAAGAGGGTCAGAGGGAGAAGCAGACCCCCAGCTGAGCAGGGAGCCCGATGTGGGACTGGATCCCGGGACTCCAGGATCATGACCTGAGCCGAAGGCAGTCGCTTAACCAACTGAGCCACCCAGGCACCCTCTTATGTAGTTTTTCTATAGGAATTTGGATTAAGAAAATTTGGCAAAGAGAGAACTAATTTTCAATGACTACAAATGAGGGCATCTCAATTTGAAAGATCAAAATGGAATCTGGGACTAAAGAGAGGTGACAAAGGATTTGCAGTTATAGGAAGAAGACATAGATGAAATACTGAGTATGCTTTGTAACTTTAAACCTGTCTCAAGACTGTGTTTCTGTATCAGAGTCCTTTACTGTGATGTCAAGAATGGCATGTCTGGGTCTCCATGATCTGAAACTCCTCCTTGGGTAATGAGCATCCTACACAGTTAACATCACAGCCTAGTGTGTATTGGGATTTGCACACGATCCTTTAGAAAGCAAGTTCCTCATCCTCAGCATAAGCTCCTTTTGCAAAATATGAATGATGCACAGATAAATGATTCTTTTTTGCTCATTTTATCATGTTTTCTTTTTCTCCTTTTCCTCCAGGAAATTTTCATCCTAAGATGGGGACAGGGAAAGATTCTTGTGGTCATAGTGGGTCTTAATAGTTCTTTTACAACGTTAATAACCATAGTTAAAGATTTTCATCTCCTTTTAGTAAAGAAGAATAAGTCACTAAACACTTCACTGAAATCAATAGTGAAATTGATTTTAGACCACAAACCTTTTTTTCATTAACAGTTTCTTGCTAATTGAAATGAAAATAGCATCAAGGGAGCCTGGTGTAAATACTGTACTTATAAGGGAGAGGGAGGAATTAGGTGGAAGGGACAAAAGGTATTGTTTGTAGATATATAGAGCCTTCTTTCCTTATCAAGTTCAAGGCTTGTAATCATCTAATTCTAGTTTTGGAAAGGACCCCAGAGCTCATCTATCCTAGTCAGTTTACCCTTGGAGACACTACTGCTCCTCAGAGGATTAAATGTTGGCAAGTTGGTAGGAGGGCCTGGCCTGATACCCAGGTCTTCAGACTTCTCTTCCATTCACTCCTTCTACCATTCTTTGCTCTATGTTTAAATACGTTTTACTCAAAGGCAGAGGGGAGGGGTCTGTTTCAACCCTGGCCTACTCACCGCCGCTTCTCACAGGGTGTCGTGTTGTTTGGGCAGCTCAGCCACTCGGACTCACACTCTGAGTCGATAGGAAGGAGATGGCATAGGGAAGGTGGGATGGGGTCAGGGAGGGAGGAGAAGCTTTCTTAGTTGCTGGCAGGAAGGTGCTTGGGACGGTGCCTGGTAAACCCTCCGTGACTATTACCGTCGCTGCCGCAATTACTACATCTTCTTCGTCTGCTCTTTGATGGAATAGTCTGTGTTGAAAGAAAATCCTGCATTTATCATTAATTTCCTTTTGTAAACAAAATAAAAATAATTAGAAGATGTGGAGACTTTTTGTTGTACTTTTTGTCATATCAAAGAGGGGAATATCTAAGTAAATGCATTGTTAAATTGTCCTAGGCTACACTAGATCACTCTTACTTTGCTGGGAAGACAGCTTTCTGTCATTCTTTCCACTTAAAATGTTAATCTGAAATATAGCAGTGTTCTCATTGCCAGAGCAAAATAGGACAGTATCGGCCCCGTATTTCAGAGAGTGAAATGTGCTTTCTTTGATTAATCAGAGAATCTGATGTGTTGATTTTTTTGTGGCTGTGTAATTACTGTTTTCATCACTTATATTTGTATTGCTTTTTTAACACTCCAGAGCATTTTCATGTCTTTCTCTCTGCTGTGGTTTCAGTCTACTAATCCTGATCATCTCAGGCTTTGCACAAGTAAATTATAGTAATCTTATATAAAATATTTTATTAAACATTTAATGCATGCATTATGTGAACACTTGCTTCTCTAACTACACCATGTTTTTTGCTTTGCCTTGGAAGAAAAATTTCTAGAAGCATGTTTTCTAAGTCAGAAAGTAATACATACATTATCTTAATTTTTAAAATTATATAAAAAATTTAGCAGAAAGTTACATTCTCTGAATTCTATGGCAGGTGTTTTACAAGTTAGACACAGCTATCAAAACCCAAGGGCAAATTTTACTGTGTCTGGTTTCTGAAAATGGCTTTGAATTGAATGGGTGATTCCTAAGATTCTGCTAATAACCAGTCCAACTGGGTCTTTGTTGTCACAGGATAAGAAGATAGAAACTTCTAGCTAAAGAGTCTCAACACCAGAGCAACATTTCCTTGAAAATATTAATTTGTCTTAAACAGCTTATTTACATAAAACAGACTAAATTATCAGGAAATGCAAACCCTAGTGTGTAACTAAGAGGGCTTGGGCTTTGGCAGCCCCCAGCCCCATCCATTTCTTTCCTTGTTGACCTGCATGAGTGTGTTCTGATACCACAAACGGTGTGAAAACCTCCCAGCCACTGGGCTCAGGTTTGCTGTTTCTGAAGATAATTTGTGTGAGAGTAAGAGGGCAGATCTGGACTATTAGTTGGTATCTGTGTGGTTGTGCTTTGGGCAAAGCATACACTGGTGCCTGCAGGGGGAGGATTGGTTCAGTTTTTAAAAGATCAGTTTTAAAGTGTTGTGTTACACTCTGTCCTTTCTTTCCCTGAACAGACTCTGTAAATGTCATGTCATGAACTGTACTTCTAAAATACTACTTTTTCCCCTTCTTAGTCCATTGGAAATGCTAAGACAACCAGGAATGATAATAGCAGCCGTTTTGGGAAGTATATTGAAATTGGTTTTGATAAGAGATATCGAATCATTGGTGCCAATATGAGAACTTATCTTTTAGAGAAATCCAGAGTGGTATTCCAGGTAAGCCGGGCAGATGCACATATGTATTTGTGTTAGATTGCCCTATAATTCTAGAGCTCATGCTTGCTGGTATGCATTTTATTTGCAGATACTCTTGGGCATATTATGACAATATTACTACAAACCACATTTGGGCTGAAATTTGTAAAATGGTACCTGTCAGAGGCAGGGCAATACCCATTAGACTAATAATGGGTACTGGTTTAGGTTTAATGGTTTTGATTTTTTCCTGCAGATGGTTGTAGGAAAAGCTTAGTTAAAAAGAGGTACTATTTTTTTTTCAAGATTTTATTTTTTTATTTATTTCAGAGAGAGAGTGTGCATGTGAGCAGGGGGAGGGTCAGAGGGAGAGAGAAAATCCCAAGCAGATTCAGTGCTGAGCACAAGCTGACATGGGGCTCTATCCCCTGACCCTGAGATCATGACCTAAGCTGAAACCAAGAGTCAGACGCCTAACTGACTGCGCCACGGAGGCGCCCCAAGAGGTGTTACTAGTTTACTCTTAACTCTCATATTTCCTAGTTGATAGGGAAGACATTGGGTTATGTTTTCAGTGAGTTAAGAGTTTGAACCTAGTTCCTTGTCCTCTTGTCTTCCTTCTCCTCTCTTAGAATATGATATTGTTTAGATAGAATAATGAAGGTTAAAAAATCTCCTTTACCAGACAAAAGCCCCTTTTGGGCATCAAACCTGACCTTGAGGCCACGCTATGCTTTAGTCAGCTGGATACACTGCAGAATTCAAGGATATGACGGTAGAGTATAAGGATTCAGTTTTGTATGAACAGTAATATTACAGTTGAATTTTTAAAGTATGTATGTGGAAAAAGGACTGTTAGGAAATACTAAGAAATTATATTAAAATTATACATGTATAATATATATACATATATTAAAATTATACATTTTGTAAAATGTTTTATTGATGTTAAAATGTATAAACTAAAATGATATAGATGATGTAGTGCATTTGTGGATTTCTTACAAACAACCAGTAGTGATCTGGTCTGACATATGGCAAAGCTAGAATATCCTTTTTCATTTAAAGTGTTAGGAAGACCATGAACCTGAAGGGTACTGTGAGAAAATATTGAGTACAGGTTTACCCCCTTTTCCAAAAGTAGATTGGTCCTATGAAACCTGTTGTAAGCTGAAATGGTGTAAAATGAAGAAAAAAATTACCATTAATTTATATGGAAAAATTTCTGAGCATCCCCAGACCCCAAAAATAACCTCTCTTAGGCTTTTCTGATACCTTAGGACACATCTTGCTAACAGATGCACAAACTAAATCGAGATAAAGCACAGATGCTCACAGACACATTTCAAAGCTATGGCAGCTCGACGCTGAGATGCTGAGTGTAGTTCCCTGGGAAGGAGCCTGGCGGTCCCACGGTCGCTGCTGGGGGTGTGCTGCCTCTTTAGTGGCTCGCTGCAAAATAACCGCGAGACACTAGTTTTTACTTTTCTGTAAAAACTCCTCTTTGGGTTTCTTTTGGTTAGCAAAACAGATGGTAATGTAGGCCTTCTGCAAAAATGAAGTGGTATAGTGCGAACTTTAGAAAAGCAGGGGATACCTATATTTCAAAAACATGGTTTTAGTTTTCCCCAAAGGCAATGATCTTATGACAATAGCATATACCAAACTGCTCTTTACTTCAAAAAACATCGTTATCAGATAATTTTTGTTGAATGTGACCAACAGATACACATTCATACATATATGCACATAGCTAATAAATCATAAGATTTAACAATCATAAACCTATATTAGGAAATTTAGGGAGGGACAACTTATTACACTGAGATAATTAAATATTAAAATTTTATTTTATGGGGGCACCTGGGTGGCTCAGTCGGTTGTATCTGACGCTTGATTTCAGCTCAGGTCATGATCTCCAGTTTGTGGGATGGAGCCCCTAGTCTATGCTCAGTGGGGAGTCTGCTTGAGATTCTCTCCCTCTGCCCCTCCCCCCACTCTCTTTCTCTCTCTCTCAAATAAATAAATCTTAAAAAAAATTTGGGGCACCTGGGTGGCTCAGATGGTTAAGCGTCTACCTTCAGCTCAGGTCATGATCTTCAGGTCCTGGGATTGAGCCCCGTGTCGGGGGCGGGGGGGGCTCCCAGCTCAGCGGGGAGTCCGCTTCTCCCTCTCCCTCTGCCTCTCCCCCTGCTTGTGCTCTCTCTGTCTCTCTCTCTCTCAAATGAATAATAATAATAAAAAATCTTAAATTTATTTTATGATTGAATTTTCTGAATTTTAGGTTAAAATGCTATAATTGAAAACTCTTCTTATTTCAAAGGCAGAAGAGGAGAGAAACTATCATATCTTCTATCAGCTTTGTGCTTCAGCAAAGTTACCTGAATTTAAAATGCTGCGATTAGGTATGACTATGGTGTTAGATTTATTGTTTTGGTATTGTTTTCCATTAATTCCTGAGTTCATAAACTTACTAAAAAGAGGATTATCTTATACTAAAATATTTATGAATAAAATGATAAGAAGTCTGCAGTTGGCTTCACGATAACCTGGGGAGGGGGAAGGGGTGAACAGCTGCATAATAAATGGAGCAGGATTGGCCTTGAGTTGATACCTGTTTAAGATGAATGATGAGTACACAGGCAGTCGAACTCCAGACTCTATACAGTTAACTGGGCTATCATTGTCTCTACTTCAGAGTGGACATAAGGGTAGGAGTCAAGGCTTTTTCATAGACTGCAAATCTTTTATTTTCGTTAATTGCAGGAAATGCAAATAACTTTCATTACACGAACCAAGGTGGCAGTCCTGTGATTGAAGGAGTTGATGATACCAAGGAAATGGCACATACCAGGCAGGCCTGCACTCTGCTAGGTAACAATTATATTTTTGAGCTCTTAGGAGCAGTAGTTCTCTGATTCAAGCAATCTTTGTTTGGAATATTGGCTTAGCTTTGTATTAGGTGGTGAGTGTTGTTGGGAGATTTAACATTCATCCTTATAAAACATCTTTGGGCAGCAAATGAACACAAGGTTTCTTTTTGGGGTGATGGGAACTATTCTAAAATCTGATTGTAGTAATGGTTGTACAACTAATCACTGAATTGTTTGCTTAAAACAGGTGAATTTTATGGTATGCAAATTATCCTTCAATAAAGCTGTTTAAAGAACAAATTGAGGGCATTAGGGGAGGTAGGACCTACTAATTCTTTGTTTAAATTTTCATAAAATCTGAAACCTAAAGCTAAATGAAATGGGTTCCTGAACAAGCTCACATTTTATAGGGTTTTCGCCTTTGTTTTTGTTTCGCCTTTTTTTTTTTTTTGTCTGTCTTTTGTGGTTGGGAAATGTGGTTGAGCTGCTGTAGTCACAAAACACTATATTGCATGTAGATTATTCCACTGTTTTAAAAATGGCTCAGATGTCACTGTCTTGTTTCTGAGATTTAAAAAATATGGGGTCTACATGCAAGTAAATTAATCTTTAGAACTGCAATGTACAACTTTTAGTGGTGAATTATTTATTTTAAAAACCTCAAAATATAGGGACGCCTGGGTGGCTCAGTTGGTTAAGCATCTGCCTTCAGCTTAGGTCATGATCCCAGGGTCCTGGGATGGAGCCCCGCATGGGGCTCCTTGCTCAGCAGGGAGCCTGCTTCTCTCTCTGCCTGCTGCTCCCCCTGCTTGTGCTCTCTCTCTGTCAAATAAATAAATAAAATAAAATAAAATAAAAAAAACCTCAAAATATAACTAAATAACATCATGTGTTGGTATTTTGATGAGTACTATGAGGTGAGTTAATTTAATTTAAAAGCATTGCTAATCAGAGTGTGGTCCAGGACCGTAGTGGAGCTTGCAAAAATTCAGAAACTCAAGACCGATCTCAGACCTACTGAATCAGAATCTGCATGTTAACAAGATCCATTGGTGATTTGTGTGCACATTAAAGTTTGAAAAATACTGCTATACTTCTAGGGCTAAATCTATTTGTAAATAGAAAATTGCAAGTTTGTAAAAGCCATAATTAGGAGATAGTAAAAACATTTATTATAAGATCAACTCTCAGTTACCCTGTATATGATTACATATTTGGAAATAATCTTCCTATTTTTACTTCTATATAATTATATATAGTATTCAGGAAAGTCTTACCTTACTGAAAAAGGAAACCGGATCTGAGAAAACGTCAAGGCTGCCCAGCTTTCTCACCCTACCTCATCCGTCAGTTGCTGCTTTAATGTTGCATTTCGATGTTCCCTCATCAAGCTGGGTGCAACATGAGCCTGAACACTTCCCATCTCGGGGTCTCTTTAGCTTATACTTGTTCTGTAGTTAGAAGAGGTAGTTAACATAATCTGACATAAAATAGCCTTATTGGGCTACCACTTGCATTTGGAGTAGAGAAAATAGAAAAGGTAATAATGTTAGTAAAATACTTAAATCCAGGGTGTGATGATGATGATAATTTGTTTAGCATTTACCATGTGCGTGCTAAGTATACTAAACGACTACATGCATTTTCTCATTTAATGTTCATGGATGCCCTTTGAGATAGCCCCTACTATTCCCGTATCTCAAATGAGAAAACAGAAACATAGAAGGGTGATGTTCCGTGCCCATGTGAGATGGCAGGTCAGGAGCAACACCAGCCCTTGAGCCCAGTTCTCGCTCCCTTCACGTCCTGCCCGTCCTGCCCGTGCTCCCAACCATGATGCTACACTGTGTTACATGCTGATAGCAACAAAGATGAGGATGTGGTTAACCATGACATGTTACCATCTGCACATCTGGCAATATTCAAGAGTTAAAAATAGGCTTAACATTGGCTGCTGTAATGGTTTATAATCACTTGTTCATTTCCTCTGTTTCAGGAATTAGTGAGTCTTATCAGATGGGAATTTTCCGAATACTTGCTGGCATCCTTCACTTAGGCAACGTTGCATTTATATCTCGGGATTCAGACAGCTGTACAATACCTGTAAGTTCAGAATATGCTTAGTGTGATAGCAGGTTATTTGTGTTTCAGTTTTGTTGATTCTTTATGGAAGCAGTATATTTGAAGTCTCTCCTATCATTATCAGAGAGATAAATTATCCCAAGTAGAATCTGGAACTGAAAGTAGGAAATATGGATGCTAATCCCTGGTGCACAGTGATTGTCTGTGTTAGGGGTAAGGGAGAGAGAGAACTTGGATACATGTCTGGTCCATATGAACAGAGATGGGAAGAATTCGATGTGAAAGTTGGATTGGGGCCATGGAGTTCATTTGGCCCATGGCACAAATACCAATAATTGAAAACTTTGTGTCTTCAGCTGTGGAGTTGTAACATAGTTTAAAAGTTATTGAAACAACTATTAGCAGTGGTTACTCCTGAGAAGAGGAACTAGATGGCTGGGGAGCTGAGTGTCTTCACTAGGATTTGCATATTCTTTCACACATAGTGATAACTGCACATTGAGAATTAAAACCCAATTCCATATGTGGAAATGTTTGTTTAAAATGTAACAAAGCCTGGTAGTCTCAGATTGTCCTCACTAGGCATTTATGATTTGCAGTATTTGCTGATCACCACCATCAAGTATAACACCTGCACGCACACACACACACCCACATACACATATAGTTTTAGGTATTTTTTTAACTTTATGAGAATGGAGGAAATTTTAATATAATTAATTCTTTTTCCATCCTGCTTCCTCAAGATTGTGATAGGAAACAATCTTAAGATTTGTTTCACTCTTCAGATACCCAAGTTGATATTAGCAAATCTACATGTAGATTAATTCATGACAAATTTATATAAATGAGATGTTAGTTTTGAAATATATGTTTCAGTGTCTCTGCCTGGATTCAATCCCTACTTTACTGTTTAATCTGTGTTTTTTGGTGGGTTGCTTACACTTCTCTGAACCTCTTTTTCCTCATCTGTAAAATGAGACTTTTTTTTTCCAGCAATTTTCGAGTAGGTTCTCTGATTGAGCTTCATACTGGATAAATTTTATATATATATGTGTGTGTGTGTGTGTTTTAAAGATTTTATTTTTAAGTAATCTCTACACCTAACGTGGGGCTTGAACTCACAACTCCCAAGATCAAGAGTCTCATGTTCCACTGACTGAGCCAGCCAGATGCCCCATGATAAATTATATTTTTTAAAAAAAGTAATAAATATGAAAAATCTACTGAGAGGCCAGAAACTAAGTGAAAATAGGAGCTATGAGAAAGAAGTAGAGCCCTGGATTTAGGGCTCACCTTGAGGGCATTTACTGAACCCAGTGACTATGAACTTTAGTTTTCTTAGACAAAAGACAAAGCCCAGGACTCATATAAACAGGGGAACCCCTTCCTAAAGCTGAGACCTTACATGGGAAACTAGTAGTAAACTTGCCCACCACCTACTCAAAGAGTACAAAGAAAAGTTGATCTGGCTTGAGCAAGCCTTGGTGCTAAGTGTAGGACAAAATAGTTCCTAAAAATTTACGGCAATGAACTGACCCTCACAGTTACTCCCAGACTGATTTTGTAGTTCCTAGATGGTCCCAGAAAGCTAAATACAGAAAACTTAGCTTAAATTGGTCCTGGATTGGTGGTGCCTTAGATGCCTGTTAGAAGCAAATGTAAGTATGGGGATTAACATAAGAATAAAAAAAAAAAAGAAGCAAATGTAAATCTACTTTGGATGATCCAGGTCTCAATAGAGTCCCATGAGAAAAGTTACAAGAAATACTGGCTCACAGTCAAAAATCACAGATTCCACAAAGAAACAAAATAGGAGGAGCTAGGCAAAACAACAGATAAAAGTCAAACCTATTAAGGATGCTGAAAGAAATTAATAGCAAATTTGACACAACTGAGGAGAGAAGAGATGAGCTAGAAGAGAGATGTGAAGAAATTATCCAGAATGCAAGATAGGACCCAGAGATGGAGCACTTAGAACATAGGAGAGGTGAAGGTTGGAGTAATAAAATCTAATTTTAATCCAATGAGAATTCCTAGAGAAAAAAAAAAATGAGGCAGACATAACATTTGAAAAGATAATTACAAATTTCAGAAATTGTGAAAATGACTCTAAACCTCAGATTAGGAAAGTCCACAAAATCCTAATTAGAATAAATGAAAAGAAATCCACCCAAGGCACACCATAATGATAGCAAAGGCAGAGAGAAAATTCTTAAAACAGGCAGAGAGAGAAGACATACTACTTTAGAAGAAATAACAGTTAAACCGTTAGCTCACTTCTCAACTACAATAGAAGCCAGAAAACACTATCTTCAGTGCTCTAGAGTAAATAACTATTAACTTAGAATTGTATATCCCATAAAAAGATCTTTCCAGAATGAGGGAAGAATAGAAGTGTTTTCAGACAAATAGAAATTGGGAGATTTTGTCCCTAAGAGGCCCTCACTAATGGAAATGTTAAAGGACGTGGTTTAGGCAGAAGGAAAGTGACCCAAGATAGATCTAAAAGTAGAGAATGAATGGTGGATCAATAAACTAGGAAAGCACATGCAAATATAGATAAAATTTCATTAATTAAAACAATAATAATTATGAATAGTGTATTGGGCTAGAAAAGACGGAACTCCCCACAAAATACTTAGTAGTACCAAGGGAAAGGTAGGTATCTTTACAGTGGAGAAACTTGGCAGGCATTCCTTAATCAGGTGACTGCAATCGACAGGACCAGTAGCGAGACCAGTCAACATCATAGAACTTTTTTTGTTGTTGCTTTTGTTGTTGTTGTTTGCTTTTAAAAAGTCTTTAAAGATATTTCTTTATTTCTCTGGTTTGTAGCTTAGAGTGAACATGGTTTTTTTTAAGTTTTTTATTTTAACTCTAGTATAGTTACCATACAGTGTTAGATTACTTTCAGGTATACAGTATAGTGTCCAGCACGTCCATACAACACCCAGTGCTCATCACAAGTGCCCTCCTTAATCCCCATCACCTGTTTCACCCTTCCCCCCACCCACCTCCACTTTGGTAACATCAGTTTGTTCTTAATAGTTAAGAGTCTGTTTCTTGGGCTTTTTCCATAGTTTGGCTATTGTAAATAATACTGCAATAAATATAGGGGTGCATGTATCCCTTCGATTTAGTGTTTTTGCATTTTTTGGGTAAATACTCAGTAGTGTGATTACTGGATCACTGGGTAGTTCTATTTTTAACTTTTTTTCAGAGTGTTTTCTGGGAACTCTAATTTTAACTTTTTCCATACTGTTTTCCAGAGTGGCTGCACGAGTTTACATTCCCACCGGCAATGCATGTGGGTTCTTTTTTTCTCCACATCCTTGCCAGCACTTGTTGTTTCTTGTGTTTTTGATCTTAGCTATTCTGACAGGTGTGCAGTGATATCTCATTGTAGTTTTTTTTTTTTAAAGATTTTATTTATTTATTCTGACAGAGAGAGAGGGAACACAAGCAGGGAGAGTGGGAGAGGAAGAAGCAGGCTTCCCGCTGAGCAGGGAGCCCGATGTGGGGCTCGATCCCAGGACCCTGGGACCATGAACTGAGCTGAAGGCAGACGCTTAATGACTGAGCCACCCAGGCGCCCCTCTCATTGTAGTTTTGATTTGCATTTCCCTGGTGATGAGTGATGTTGAGCATCTTTTCATGTGTCTGTTGGCCATCTGTATGTCTTCTTTGGAGAAATGACTGTTGAACATTATATAACTTCTGATATGATGAACTTAGAGCACAACATCACTTCCCTGGTATTCCTGCCAAGAAGGCATGACCCAAATCTAATCATGAGGTAGCATCATGCATACCTGCATTGAGGGACATACTAGTCAAAAATGTCAAGGTCACAAAAGACAAAAAAAAAGAGTGAAGACCTGTTGAGATTAAAGGAGGCTAGTGAAACATGGCAACTAAAATCAGTGTATGAACTTAAGACTCGATCCTGGGCTATAAAAATGTCTCCCCCGCTCCTGTGCAGCGATTGATTAGATCAACCAGAAAAAAATTGAATTAGATCTATAGGTTAGATAATGGAGTTGTGTCATTGCTAATTTTCTAATTCTCTTGGTGATACCATAGTTATATAAGACAATGTCTTTGGTTTTTAGGAGATGCACACTGAAATATTTAGGACTAAAATGGCATCATGCTTGGAACTTCTCTCAAAGGTTTTTTGGGTTTTTTTTTCCTCCCATTCCACTCTCAAAGGTTCTAAAAAATTAATGTGTATGTACATGTATGTGAAGGAGAGAGAATGATACAAGCAAACGTGGTAAAATGTTAATATTTAGGGAATCTGGGTGAAGGGATTTCTTTGTACTGCTCTTGTAACTTTTCTTTTAGTCTAAAATCAGTTCAGAAGAAAAAGTTAAAAAAAATAAAGAGAATCATCAGCCCCTGTTCCCCCTAAAAACATAGAACTAGAGTACTAGATAACAACTGGATAACTTGTTTAGGAATTCAGCTATATACTTTTGAAATAGCATTCCTAAAACATAAAGGTACAGAAAGCTTGAAAATAAAAAGTTTAGAAAAGATACATCATAGTAGCTAGAAAAAACCTGGCAGGGCCTGTGTCGATATTGGACAAAATAGAGTTTGGGACCAAAAGCAATACTAGAGATATATAGAGTACTATGTAATGATAGAGATTTTATTCATCAGGAAGATGTAATGCTTCTAAACTTTCATGTACTTAATGGCATAGACTTAACATATATAAAGCAAAAATCAACAGAAACCAAAAGAAGAAATAGACAGCTCTATCATAGTGGGAGATTATTGACTTTCTCAGATAAAGAGAAGAGATAAATGAAGAAGTCTAAAAATTAGTAAAGTTACAGAAAATTTGAACAAAAAAGTTTACAGCCACGATCTAATAGTATGGTAATGCCGTTCAAATAGAGTATGTTTAGAGAGTACTGAGGTCAAATCGTTCATATTTATACGAATGAAATTAGCTGCTTATTTAAGGGAGCTGTAGCATGCTGTTGGTAATGATGCTAGTTTGTATCTGAAGTGATCACTTGGGAGAAGGAGAGATGAAGGAAGGAAGGGACTGCTTCAGTGGGAAGGATCAGGAGGTAAGGGTGCCAAGACACCCAGGTTCTAATGACAACACTGACATACATTGACCGTGTGATGTTTGACAAGCTATCCTTTTGGATTTCAATCATATAGTGATAGGGATGTGCATCCTGGCTATTCCCCAGGAATGTCATCAGAGTCAACTGAAACGTGTGAGTGGAGATGTTCACAAATACAATGCACTCATGTGGATCAAACTAAACAAGTTTTTATTGAATGTCTACTCAATGCAAGGCCTATGGAAGACCTTGTAGGGGATAAGGATATATAAGTCATTAAAGAGATTCTAATCATTCTCATCTAAGAAGTCATGCAAATAACTCTCAAGTTATCTGTTTCAAACCCTTCAGCGGCTTCCCTTTGCTCTCAGGATAAAGATCAGCCATGGTATAGCCTCTGCCTGTCTCTCTGGCTTCATCTCAGATATTTTCTCCCTCACTCAGCGTTAGTCCCTCATACTATAGTTTTCTCCCACCACAGGACTTTTATACCAGCTGTGCCCTCAGCTTGTAGACCCTTTCTTCCCCCTTTCACTGAGTTAATACTTTCCCATCTTTCAGATTTCAGCTCTGTTTCTCAAGGCAACTGGCGCCTGCCTCCTGAGTAGAGCACGCTCCTTTCATATGGAATCATAGGATAGTACCCTTGTTCTCTGCAGTAATTTTACATGTTAGGGAGCAGTCGTTTGACTAATATCCATTTCTCCTGGTGACTGTAAGTTCTAGGAAGATAGAGGCCATGTTTGGTTTTATTTACTGGCGTATCGTGGGCACTCTAAATATTTGTTGACAAGCTGACAGATCTTCTGATCAACTGACTGAATGAAGGTGCCCGAAGACAGATACAAACAAATAACAGCAAAGAGACAAAGGAAGATGTAGTTTGTGAAACGAGCCCTAGAAGAGATTATAAAATGCTGTCTAGATGCTGGTCTAATGGATGACTGATTATTATCACCGACCAGCTTCAAGTGATCTGGGTGTTTGTTATAAAAAAGAAATTGCTGGGTTTTATTTGTTACTTCTTTGTTAGTGTTTTTTTAGTAAATTCTTATTTGATTGATTTGGTCATAGGAAATAATCCACTCTCTTTGTCAGCCCAAGCATGAACCTCTCAGCATCTTCTCTGACCTTATGGGCGTGGACTATGAAGAGATGTGTCACTGGCTCTGCCATCGGAAACTGGCTACCACCACAGAGACATATATCAAACCCATCTCGAAGCTGCAGGCCACGAATGCCCGTGATGCTTTGGCCAAGCACATTTATGCCAAGCTCTTTAGCTGGATTGTAGATCATGTCAATCAGGCCCTCCATTCTGCTGTCAAACAACACTCTTTTATTGGAGTGCTGGACATATACGGGTAAGTGTATTTGGCTTAATGGTCTGCCACAGAGCATTTCTTTCTAGAGATTATCTGGTAACTCTGAGTGGGTACTAGGTTCTGTCTCCTACTGGTAAGGAGAAAAGAAAATTAGAAGAGCATTTCTAAAAATCTTACTTCATTTGCTAGTTTGCCTTTTCTCGTTACCCTCCTTTAAAGATTTTATTTATTTATTTGAAAGAGAGAGCGAGAGAGAAAGCATGAGCAGGGGGAGGGGCAGAGGGAGAAGCAGACTCCCAGATGAGCAGGGAACCCGATGCAGGGCTCGATCCTGGGGCTCCGGGATCCTAACCTGAGTTGAAGGCTGATGCTTAACCGCTGAGCCACCCAGGCGCCCCTCTGGGTACCCTCCTTTAGCTGTTAATACCTTTCCTATACATTTTTGCTTTTTAATGCCTAGTTTCTTTTATTGTTTAGTTTTTCAAAAGAACCTATGAGATCTCTATTCCCAGTTCTCTTTTATGTGAATATTTAGACACTGAATCTGTAAATTGACAAGAGCAATAGCTTTATCATAATTCCGATTGTTCCCCACCTGGGGATGAATTAGCCCTCAAAAACTCATACTGTTAAATACCTCTAAAATAAATAAATAAGGGCGCCTGGGTGGCTCAGTCGGTAAGCGTCTGCCTTTGGCTCAGGTCATGATCCCAGGGTCCTGGGATCGAGTCCCGCGTCGGGCTCCCTGCTCCGCAGGAAGCCTGCTTCTCCCTCTCCCACTCCCCCTGCTTGTGTTCCTGCTCTCGCTGTGTCTCTCTCTGTCGAATAAATAAATAAAATCTTAAAAAAAAATAAAGTAAAATAAAATAAATACATACATACATACATACCTCTGCATGCTGAAGCCTTCAAAAAATTCTCTCTGCTATGTGGCTGATGCCTATCTGCTGTGTATAGATTCCATGTTACTGATTTATAAACTTTTATCTTCACTGATGGTGGAAAGAAGGTTTCAGAATGTTGGGAAATTTCCCATTTCTTTCTTTCTAATGGGCACATTTTGAATATTTTAAAAAGCTGTTTGTTTCTTTTTCTCCTCTTCACATATTATTTTTGGTTTTACAGATTTGAAACATTTGAGATAAATAGTTTTGAACAGTTTTGCATAAATTATGCAAATGAAAAACTACAGCAACAATTCAATATGGTAAGAATTTTCTTTCTTAACCAATTTCTACTATAAATTATTCTTTTGAATTCCCACTCTGTGTTTCAAGTCTAGTTTCTGAAATGAGGTTGTAAATTGCAATTATTATGTGGGCTTTAGAACAACTGAGCTGCTGAGGAACTTATGATTAATAAATGAGTGCAATGTTAAAGAATGGTATGGCCCAGATAGGATTCAAGGTGATCTTCAGATTACAGCCTGGGAATAGTAAAAATTTGGTTGAAATAAATTGAGTGATGGAAGCAGGGAGTGCATTAGGTAGTAACACAGGCAGTTTGAAGTTTCGAGCCCAGGATATCCTTCAGTGTGCTGTTCCTGTGGAGTGAAGACTATCTTAACTCACACTTGCTGTATCTGCAAGATGCCAGCATGAAAAATCAGAACACGCTCTCTTTTCTACATATTTTTTTTACATATTCTATTTTATATATTCTCTTTTCAACAGTCTGAGACATTCACCACAACAGTGGCAATGGGAATATTTTGAGAATGGCTCTTGTGGAGTAGTAATATCAAATATCATCAAGCATTATCATGGTATTGGGGAATTTCAAGATATTTAAGAATGAGGGGCAGTAGATTGTAATAGTGAAGATCACAGACCTCCAAAGTAAACTGCTTGGGTTGGAATCCCATTCTGCATTGATTATTCATGGGACCTTGGGCAGGTTAATTGACCTTCCTGGGCCCTAGTCTCCTCATCTGTATAATGGGGATAATGATAGTAGTACCTACTGCATATGGTTGTATAGATTAAATGAGTTAAGATATGCAAAGTTATCAACACATGCCAGGTACAGTTCTAAGTGCAAGATTAGGGATGGTTATTAGTACTGATGAAAGAGGATATTAAAAATGAGTCACCCAGGGTGCCTGGGTGGCTCAGTTGGTTAAGCGACTGCCTTCGGCTCAGGTCATGATCCCGGAGTCCCTGGATCGAGTCCTGCATCGGGCTCCCTGCTCGGCAGGGCGTCTGCTTCTCCCTCTGACCCTCCCCCCTCTCATGTGTTCTCTCTCATTCTCTCTCTCTCAAATAAATAAAAAATCTTTAAAAAAAAAAAAAATGAGTCACCCAGGGGCGCCTAGGTGGCTCAGTTGTTAAGCGTCAGCCTTCAGCTCGGGTCATGATCCCAGGATCCTGGGATCGAGCCCGGCATTGGGCTCTTTGCTCATCGGGGAGCCTGCTTCTCCCTCTCCCACTCGCCCTGCTTGTGTTCCCTCTCTCACTGTGTCTCTGTCAAATAAAAAATAAAATCTTAAAAATGAGTCACCCAAAAAACAAGACCAAAAAAACCCAAAAAAGTCACCCATAGAAGTTGAAGATGGAAGAGAAGAGAGCTGAAGGACAGGAAAAGAGCCCTTAGTATCCTCATTTTATAAAGAGAGAGGACAAGTGGCATGGTCTATAGTTAATGAACAAAAAATAGAAGTTTAAAGGTATTTTAAGTTACAAAATTAGTAAAAATCAAAAGAAGAACTAAATAGTAATATTGGGAGGGCTGGGGAGGGGCACAGTAGAGAGGTGGTATATATGAATTTAGCCTCATCTGTCTCTTCAAGAAATCAATAGATGATGTTTCCAATGAATACATAAAAAAATAGTAGATAAACATATTCTTTAGAGGTAAATATCAGAAGAAATAACTAAGGAAGTTAAAAATGGCTTCCTCCAGAGAGTGAGACTGGGTTGAGGGATGGGACAAGGGATTGTTGCTTATCATCATCAAACCTTCAGACTGTTTGATTTTTTAAAAATATCGCATATATTCTGATGAAAATTTGGACCATCTTTATTTAGCAAGTTAAGAAGCTACTTAGCACAGTGAAATAATGCAGAGGTGATCTTTAAGCCTTAAGCTTATGACTGTTTCCATAAGAATGTGATTGGTGTATTTCTCATCTTTACGTAAGAAACATTAATAAAAACCTATCAGAGACTAAACTGAGCATTATCTTTTTCAAGGTTTTACTGAGATTAATACTTTAATCATCCACAGCCTCTGGTCTTTCCTAGTATGTTTTCACACAAGATGACTGTAAATATAAGGAACCAGCACTGCCCTCATTAGGGATTGGCTCATTTGTCTGTTTGACAAGGACCCCATGTCTTTGCATGTGTGTTTCTGACTTTCTTGTTTCTCTTTCTCTTTCCCTCTGCCTCTGTGAGTCTGTTTCTTCTTCTCTGTCTCTCTCTCTCACACACACACTGTACTGCATCTTAGCTTCTCTCTGCATAGCTGCTCCACTCCCTCTTACTATCAGATGACTTATTCTTCCCTTTTATTTTGTATATATTTTCTCAAGGTTTCTGCTTCCTCAATCCCTTCAAGCTCCCTGTGAACCCAGCAGTGGTTGGATTGCTCCTCTCATCCTCTCCCCTGTCCCCCCCCACCCGCCCCGGAGAGAGAGGGAGAGCGGGGGGAGGGGCAGAGAGAGAAAGAGAGAGAAAATCCCAAGCAGGCTCCACGCCAAGCACGGAGCCCAATGCGGGGCTCGATCCCACAACCCTGGGATCATGACCTGAGCGGAAATCAAGAGTTGGACACCTAATCGACTGAGCCACCCAGGCACCCCTCTTCTCTCGTCCTCTTAACTTGCCTTTTCCCCATTCATCTTGACTCAGTTTCAGCTTGCACTGTTAATTGCCCATATCAAAATTCTTACACCTGAGAAAGAGAATCTGATTAACTTCATTCATTTTTCCATCACAGATCTCTAGCAGTTGACTAGCTGTGACTAGGAAGATGGGGTTTCCCAGTAAAGAACTTGGCTGCTTTGGGCCACTCCCTTGGCAGGGATTATGGGTGGGGCAGTGGGCATGAGAAACATGGTGATCTGCATTTTTACAGCTCACAGTCATTACATATTGACCAAGGATCTCTAGCTCATGCCCACATTGTCTTTTTGACAATTGAGTATCCAAAATTTCTGAGGCCTCATGGACTTTTCCAAACTAGGCATAGAAATGTGTATAAGAAACAAGCTCTCGGGGCGCCTGGGTGGCTCAGTTGGTTAAGCAACTGCCTTCGGCTCAGGTCATGATCCTGGAGTCCCGGGATCGAGTCCCGCATTGGGCTCCCTGCTCGGCGGGGAGTCTGCTTCTCCCTCTGACCCTCCCCCCTCTCATGTGCTCTCTCTCATTCTCTCTCTCTCAAATAAATAAATAAAATCTTTAAAAAAAAAAAAAAAAGAAACAAGCTCTCTTTAAAATTTGGATCAGTGTTTCTGTCAGTGTGGAGATTGCATATAAATTATTGAATTAAAAAAAGAACAGGGCTCATTGCTTTGGAAAATATTGGTGCCATCAGTCAGGGCATCCTGCTGACACGTGGTGCCCCGTTTGCCTTCTCATTCATCATAAGAGCAGAAGAAATTTGCTTTCTGATCAACATGACATAAATATTCATATGGATGACCATTTTGTTTGTTTTTTTTAAATTACTGAAGCTTATTGCAGCTGGTAAATGCTGCAAATGAGCCAAGAGGGGCATTATGATAAGTACAGAATAAAGAGAGAAAGTTCCAAGTGCACAAGGAGAATATGTATCAGAAATCTTGGTGACACCTAAGTTTCAAGGGTCTTAGGGTCCTAGAAAATATGTGTTGTCTGGTCAAAGTCACAGGGGGCTATTCTTTCCAGAAAAAGCATCAAAATATGTGAGAGAAGAAGGGACTCAAAAGAGCAAAGGAAAGCAGAAATCCCCAAGAACAAAGAGTAGCGGTCATTAACATCTTATAGACACTAGAAGTTGTGGGTTGCTATATTGTTGGGCCGCCTGAAGCAAGAACTGTATCAGGGATTGGATTGCCCTTCCATCTAGACTAACTTAACAACCATTCATCTGCAGAGCTCCTATCACACAGCCTTTCCTCAGGGAAGCGTTTCCTCACCACCCTATATCCAAACTGGATGAGGATTCTTGGATTCTTGCTCTCATAGCTTACATTATTTTCCTCTGTAAAATTACTACAGTTTGTGATCCCTTGTGATTATTTGATTTCTGTCTGTGTTTCCCACTAGTTAAAATCCCTGAGGGCAGAACCCACATCTACTTTGTTAATGGTGTGCAGTGGCTGGCACATAGTAGACAGTCGATAGATATTTTTGCTTAAATGAGTGAATGGGGATTAAAAGCAATGGTGAGGATGGTGGCTAAAACATTTAGCAGAAAGAACAATGGATTGGTCCTTGTTGCAGCTGCTTGCAGCATTGGATGTAGAATTCAGAAAATTGAGCTGTAGATCCCCTGACTGTGGAAAATAATGGAGGCAGACACAAAACACTGTTATCTAATTCTGAGGCAGGTAAACTTCAACATCACTGTCCCTTAAGAGAATTACTTTGCTGTGCGGTAAGCGTCACCCGGCATGGTTCAGTAGTCTAGGAGGTATCTGCTCTGCATAGTTCAAGGCCAGCTAAGGCATTGTTAGCAGCACTGTGCAATAATTTTAGGCCAAAAAGTATATTGTGCTGTGTTGGATGTATACATATAAAGAAAATCGAAGACTGCTACATTTGTCAGCTGTTTAACACATCTACATACCTAGATTTACTTGTTTACCAAGAATCCTATATAGCTGAGGCTTTACTATCTGTGGTTTTTATTTGCTTTTTATATCACTCTCTGTGTGTAAAACATGTTTCTCCCACAAGATAATTGTTGCTGGAAGCCATGGACTATCTCATATCATGTTCGTATCCTCTTAGAGTGTTTTCTATAAATGTTGTTTCTTGACTAACATTACTTATAATGATACAGTAATGCCAGTTTTTTTTTTTCTTTTTCATTTCAGCATGTCTTCAAATTAGAACAGGAAGAATATATGAAGGAACAAATTCCATGGACACTCATAGATTTTTATGATAATCAGCCTTGCATTAATCTTATAGAATCTAAACTGGGCATTCTAGATTTGCTGGATGAGGAATGCAAGGTAAATATGATTTTCTGACGTACCTAGTCTATCAAGAGATATGTCAAGGTCAGAGGTAAGTGGGTTTAAGCAGAGATTCATTAGTATACCATGAGGTGTCACTGTGGCCACAAGTGAGAGATTGCCCTACTTGCATTCTGAAAGGTCACTAGACCCAAAGGGTTCTAAATACAGTCAAAACTTGGAGAATTTTGGGGCACCTGGGTGGCTCAGTTGGTTAAGTGTCCGACTCTTGATTTCAGCTCAGGTCATGATCTTGGGGTCCTGGGATTGAACCCCACGTCAGGCTCCGTGCTTAGCAGGGAGTCTGCTTGAGGATTCTCTCCCTCTCCCTCTGTCCCTCCCCCCCACTTGCACTCTCTCTCTCTCAAATAAATAAATAAATCTTTTTAATAATCTAAAAAAAATAAGAAACTTGGAGAATTTCCTTTCTCTTTTCAGCCGCTTCTCGGTTATGTGAAAAATTGACATTAGACACAACTACTTACCAGTGTTAGCCACCTTTGTTATATTTGGTACTTTTTGGTTCAGTGATATGACATATTTAAAGAAATGCAAGAAATTGTACAAAAGATACTTTAAATAATAGTCCTAAATATCTGTGATTTTAAAATTGACTGCTTGTTCTTTATCACTGATATATATAGTACAAAGGGAGTGTTAGCTTTAATATTTGAAGACCCAGCATGTTGGGAAAATAATGGATCTCCAGCTTTACTGCTAACTGAGTGATCTTAGACAAATAACCTATCCTTTCTCTTAACTCCTCTTTAGTCTATATGCCATAAATTATACCATAGATTGATCACCTAAGCATCCAGATTTCCTACAACAATTAAGACTGAGTATAATGCTCACTTTCACTTGAAGTGAAATAAAATGCATATCAGACCAAAAATGGGATACTGCTTTTTACTTATCAGACAGGCAAGTTTTTTTTTTCTTTTAAGATTTTATTTATTTATTTTGAGAGCGAGAATGCATGTGAGCTGGGGAAGGGGCAGAGGGAGAGGGATAGAGAAATCTCAAGCGGACTCCCCCTGAGCAGGGAGCCCAACACGGGGCTCGATCCCAGGACCCTGGGACCATGACCTGAGTTGACATCAAGAGTCAGACATTTAACCGACTGAGCCACCCAGGCACCCCAGATAGATGAGTTTAAATTTGATAATACCATTCTTTTATGGTTGAATGTGAGTTAATACAGCATATATTTGAGGAAATTTGACAATATTCATCAAAATTATAAGCACATGTACCTTTGGACCCAACAGTGGAACTGCTAGAGTTCACCCTATGAATATACTTGCAAAAGTATCCAAGGTATATATGTAAAAGAAGTAATTGTGACCATTTTTACAATAACAAAAATGAGTGACAACCTAGTGGCCATAAATATAATTATATTTATTTTAAATATATTTTCTTCATTTTAAACCTTTCTGAATTATGAAAATATTTCACTCTGTGCAGATATTACCTTTATTTAACAAATTTAAGAAAATACCTGATATGGAGCACCTGGCAGGCTTAGTTGCTAGAGCATGTGACTCTTGATCTTAGGGGGTCGTGAGTTCAAGCCCCACATTGGGCATATAGCTTACCTAAAAAAAAAAAAAACCACATAAAATCATGATAGTTCATCTTTTATTTGTGAGGCTTTTGTTGTTTTAAAAGCAGATAGAATATTTATTTGATGATTCCTGGTATAGGCAGATTGAGTTGCCCAAAGATTGGGCTGAGTCACCCATAAGAAGGTCACAATCATTGCTTTTCATTAGTAATTAGTTTTTGGCATCTAACAGAGTAATGTGGAAGGAATGAGTTCCTAATTGCATAGAAAAGTTGTTAGAAAAATGGTCTCCTGGTTGATGCCTCAGAAGAGCCTTATAACAATTTTCACCTTATTTTGTTGTTGTTGTTGTTGTTGTTTCTTTTCTCCCTTGAATGTAGATGCCTAAAGGAACAGATGACACTTGGGCCCAAAAATTGTACAACACACATTTGAACAAATGTGCGCTCTTTGAAAAGCCCCGTCTATCAAACAAAGCTTTCATCATCCAACATTTTGCTGACAAAGTAAGGAACCTTTATTATCTTTTTTCTTTTTGAATATTTAAGTTCAAAGAGGAAGAAAATCGATAGTCAAGAGATACCATTTTTATCTTTGCTGAAACTTGCATTCTTTAGTGTCTTATAGGAAAAGTATTTTTCAGTGTTGCTTTGTTGGTTTTCTCTTCCTTTAAACTAAATGGAATTATATTATGAAATAAATATGAGCCTACAATCCTCTATAATTTTGAAATCGAAGAAACTCTGAAAACTAAAAAGTCTTTTCATAATTCATTTTATGTCTAGACCTGATTTCTGACTTGAACTAACATGAGGTTATGTATAGTCTTTATCTCACTTAGGCCGGGTATTTGCATACTTCAGTGTAGAAATGTTAATGTGTTTAATTACAGTTGCTCCCTCAGATTGCTGAAAACCTTGGAGAGGTCAGAATAGAGACTGTGATTGAGTCATTGGGTTCCTGCTAACAGGACTTGCTGCCTCATGAGTTCAGTAGTGTACTCAGAAAATCAGGGGTGATGAGACTAATTTACATTTAAAGGAAGTGTGGCTAGGTATAGGGGAGTAAGCTTCCTGGGATCTCCTTCAGGAATTGAGGGCCTTCTGAGTCTCCGTAATCCTAGCTGGAAACCTAGGAATGACTTGTAGGTCATCCGAGGGCTTTGTGTTATAGCCTGGGGAGCAACTTGAATGGTAGATGCCTGAAGTCACTGGAGTTTTGGAATCAGGAACAGTCGTTCTTGAGGAGTTCCACTACCAAATCATACAGTGTTTACCCAGTTCTCTCCCAAGAGAACTACCGCTCCTGGATGGTGATCTCAGTCACAAGAGGATACGTTGACTTAGCTGTGGAGGAGCTCTCTACCACCAGCATGGGAGAAGACAGTCAACTTCTTAGGAGTCTGCTTACCTATGAATTGGGGGGATCTTTTAGACCATAACTAATTAGCACTACCACTGTTCCCTAGGAAAAGCAGTATTTGAGGAGTTTTACTCTAGAGTTAACATACTTCTTCCCAAGAATGGTACTGGTTTCTTAGAATAAAACTGATAACCAGTTTGCTGAGAACCAGTCATATAGCCTGAACCTAATAAATATTTTTGTTGTTGATGATTATAATATCTGTTCAAAAAGTCTGTTAAGAAGATTTTTGCATGTGTTTTCAGGTGGAATACCAGTGTGAAGGCTTTTTGGAAAAGAATAAAGACACTGTCTTTGAAGAACAAATTAAAGTTCTGAAATCCAGCAAGGTAACAATGTATAGGCTTATATATTCATTAAAGTGTTAATTACTTAAGCATTAGTTTTTTTGTTTTTTTAAGCATTCGTTTTTTAACAGTAATGATTTTTCTAACAAAATCAGGTTTACCATTAGTTTTTAATTTATCAAATACATAACACAGTGTGTGTCAGGTATTGTTTTAAATGCCTTACAAATGTTAACTCATGTAATTTTTATAATGAGGTGATATAATCATTGCTCCCATTTTACAGATGAGGGAACTGAAGCACAGAGATTTCATAGCTAATAAGTTTTCAAGCCAAATTAAAACACAAGCTGTCTGGCTCAGAGTCTGCTCTTAACCACTATGCAATGTTGTCTTTCAGTTTTATGTGAAATTATCTCCACAGTTGTTCTAGACTCTCTTGTGCCTTTGTAAGAGACTATGAGAGAAAACAGGTTTTTTGCTGCATTATGTATGTATGTATGTATTTTTAAAGAATTATTTATTTATTTTAGAGAGAAACAGAGAGCACTAGCGGGGTTGGGGGGCAGAGTGGGAGGGAGACAAGCAGACTCCCCAGTGGGTGGGGAGCATGACTTGAGGCTCAGTCCCAGGACCCTGAGATCATGACCTGAGCTGAAATCAAGAGTCAGATGTTCAACCAGCTGAGCCACCAAGGTGCCCCACTGTATCATTTTAAAGGGTGCACTGGAAACATGGCCTTATGCACTCAAATTATTTGAAAGTAAACTTAGTTTAGCAAAATGAATATTCAAATATTCATTAAAAATGTATAATTATTCATGTGAATCTAGACTACTGACTGACACTTTTGTTTTCCTAGTTTATTCTGAGATAGTCTTTATTTTTAATTTTTCATTTCATTTATTTATTTATTTATTTGACAGAGAGAGAGAGACACAGCAAGAGAGGGAACACAAGCAGGGGGAGTGGGAGAGGGAGAAGCAGGCTTCCCGCGGAGCAGGGAGCCCGATGCGGGACTCGATCCCAGGACCCTGGGATCTGACCTGAGCCGAAGGCAGACGCTTAACGACTGAGCCACCCACGCGCCCTGAGATAGTCTTTTTAAGTTCTGTGGGAATATGCTATAAACATTTTTAAATTTAAATTCAATTAATTAACATATAATGTATTACTGGTTTCAGAGGTACAGGCCTGTGATTCATCAGTCTTATGTAATACCCAGTGCTCATCACATCACATGCCCTCCTTAATTTCCCCCATCCCTCCAACTCCCTCCCCTCCAGCAAACCTCAGTTTGTTTCCTATGATTAAGAGTCTCTTATGGTTTGTCTCCCTCTCTGGTTTCATCTTTTTTTATTTTTTCCTCTCTTCCCCTATGATCCTCTGTTTTGTTTCTTAAATTCCACATATCAGTGAGATCATACGATAATTGTCTTTCTCTGATTGACTTATTTCACTTAGCATAATACCCTCTAGTTCCATCCATGTCGTTGCAAATGGCATGATTTCATTTTTTTGATGTCTGAGTAATATTCCACATCCTCACCAACATCTGTCATTTCCTGTCTTGTTAATTTTAGCCATTTTGACTGGTGTGAGGTGGTATTGCATTATGGTTTTGATTTGTATTTCCCTGATGCCGAGTGATATTGAGCATTTTTTCATGTGTCTCTTGGCCAAGATTATGTTCCAGTTTTAACCCTTAGAAAAATAATGACTCTGAGTGTCTGTAAGTGTCTGTCAGTTTTTTACTTACACCCATAAGCACTGGGCATTAATGCTTTATAGCTTATAGGACTGATGTATAGGAGAAAATTCTCTCCCAGTGCCAGTCCCTGAGTACTATTCAGTTAGATTATAAATCATTTCTATTTATGAATAGTGATGAAAACCATAAAATTCTGGTGTCACTACTCTGCCTAGGTAATTTAGCTTAAGTGGAACATTCACAGGTTCTTATTCCCCAGGTACCCGTAATCAGTCGTGTCTTTCTTCTGACTAATTTTCTTATTGGCTGTGGATCCTTAATTATCACAAGGTAGCTGTGGGTTCTGAGGAATCATTTGGAGTAATTGCAGTCTGTGTAGCATTGCTGCAGCTGGAGCTGGGGGATGGTGCGTGGTACACATAGCTTAGGTTTTCAGATCAAGTCTATTAGAGACTCTTATTTTTCCCCTTTGCAACACAGCTTTAACATTGTAATACAAGATAGTAGTGCAACATGTTTTCCTCTTTATAGCCAACCAAGCTGGAATATATTATTTTTTCTATAAAAGAGATACATTCATTTGTGTAGCAAGCAACCATTATTGGTATGTTTTGTATAACAATTTATTTTATACATCATGAGTTATTTCCTAAATTACCCTTATGATTAAATACACATTAAGAGCAAATGAAATTCTCTGATTTTGTTTTTTAATGGAAACACTCTCCTAAGAAAATTATTTCTTCTGGAGATACTCTGAGATTATTAGACAAATAATAGGTAGCTGTAATTTTAATTTGAAGGATTTATTTAATGCAGAATGTGTCACTGTTGAAAAGATACATACGTATGTCAAGATGTTCCTGTAGGTTAGTTTGAAGTCTCTTTCGTTCCATAAAGTCTCTCCTTTCCATACTGACTAATACCATCTATCCACTTGTTAAATGCCAGATCTTTTAATAATCTTTCATAGTGCTAACCTGGTACAACACAAAATTGATTGCAGGAATTATGCAATCAAGTTATCAATCCCTTGAAAACAAATATAAAAGGATACAGGACAAGGGCAGGGTTTTTAATTTTTTTCCTTATAAATCTGTGTTATTTTCCAAAAATTATTAATTCATGATTATTTTTTTTTAAAGATTTTATTTATTTATTTGAGAGAGAGAATGAGAGAGAGAGAGCACATGAGAGGGGGGAGGGTCAGAGGGAGAAGCAGACTCCCTGCCGAGCAGGGAGCCCGATGCGGGACTCGATCCAGGGACTCCAGGATCATGACCTGAGCCGAAGGGTAACCAACTGAGCCACCCAGGCGCCCTCAGGATTATTTTTTAATCTTATAATATTGGAGAACTAGTTTGTGACACCCTTCTTGCTGAGATTTTCGGTGAGTTTTGTTTAGCTGGTGCTCACCATTTGAGTTAGTAGGTAGACAAATGAAGCATGATGATAAAATATTTTGTGGAACTGAAGTAATAAGATAGGACTTTCCATTAGTATTTTGCTCATAAAATAATTGTAGTTCAAGACTAGTAATATGTTGATAGTGGCCATTTTCTGTAGATTAGGATTTCAAGTGTTAGGGGAGTAGTTTTGATTTTGTTTCCCCCAAACAAGGCCATAGAATCACTGCATTTTTTTCCTCCTATATTTTTGTAGCACTGGTGTCACCTTCCTCTCATGTCTTTGTTTCCTAACACAGATATTGATTATTTCCGGAATGAGACTTTGTAAAGGGTTACTGAAGGAAGGGAAGCCCTGTGGATTCCAAGTCTTCTGTGAAGGTTTATGCTTGAGTTTATTTAGAGTATAATTATCTTTTATTGTTTCTGACTCAGTTTAAGATGCTACCAGAATTATTTCAAGATGATGAGAAGGCCATCAGTCCAACATCAGTCACCTCATCAGGGCGCACGCCCCTCACTCGTATTCCTGCAAAGCCCACCAAAGGCAGACCAGGCCAGACGGCCAAAGAGCACAAGAAAACAGTGGGGCACCAGGTCAGTTCTGGGGAGCTGCCACTGCAGGGCTCCTTCCCCTCAAGCTGAGTTGAAGCCTCAGGTCTTCCTCTGTCAGTCCCCCAGGTGGGGTCCTCAGGTGGGGAAAGGCTAGAGCTCTTACTATGAGAACACGTAACACCATCCCCTCCTGCTCCTCTCCACCCAGCTTTAGACCCATGACTCTGCTTAAGCCTGTCCCAAAATAATCTTCTCTAGGTCTTGATTCTTGTAGTGCATATCGTCCCTCTCAGACCACTGCTGCCTTTGGTTTGTCCTCTGGCCATTTCCTCTCTAGATTTGTACAGAGCACCAGCTCCCTCAGTGCAGGAGCAGAGCCCTCTCCTTTCTTCGATGTCCTCGGCTCTGTGGGGCGTGGGAAATACTACACACATGCACAGTGCCTGAACAAGGCTGGGGGCCCTGGACGGGAAGCCAGTCAGCTTGCTTTCCCGTGTGGGGGACCGTGTGCCCAGGTGAAATAGGAAGCAGGGCCCAACACAGGTTTGGGGCCTCCAGGCTTGACCTCGTGTCCATGTTGGTAGCCCCACGGTGGCTGTTCTCTCCCACCCTCCTGCTCATTCCTTGCGCTCTTGGAAGTCACCTGCTACTTCTTCAGTCTCCTGTGGCAGAATTCCCAGTGTACATGATAAGTGGACCTAATATTCTTCAAGTAAGGATATTTTTTAGTCAAAATTCTGAGTTCACAACAGAAAGCTACAGGAGCCTGTGTTAAAGGAGCGGGGGGGTGAACTCTGATGTAAGTGATGGACTTTGGGTGACTGATTTGTCAGAGCAGGTTCATCAGTCTTAACAAGTGTACTGCTCTGTTGGGGGTACTGATAATTGGGGAGCTGGTGCCTGTGATGGGGCAGGGGGTGTATGGAAAATCCTTCTTCAGTTAGTTTTGCTGTGAACCTAAAACAGCTCTAAGAAAATAAGAAAGGGGTGGCAGGGAAAAGTGGTGGGAGGAGAACAAATGTATATTTAGTAGAATAAGCATATAAATGGCAGAGTTTAAGCAAATTTTAACCTAAAGCCCTATATGCTTATTTAGTAGCAGCCCCCTTCTGAGGCTGGGTCAAGTTCACAGGAGGCAGAATCATCTCCAAATCTCCAATAGTGTCATTGGAAAAAACTTTAAATTGTTTTTACAACATCGATTTTGATAAAACCCTGATGGCCCTTTCTCTTCTGTTTTTCATGCAGTTCCGAAACTCCCTTCACCTGCTTATGGAGACCCTCAATGCCACTACCCCTCACTATGTACGCTGCATTAAGCCCAATGACTTCAAGTTCCCATTCACGTAAGTATTTCTCAACTACTGAGTTAAAAAGCGTCCAAGTCTCATAAGGATTCCCATACTAACAGAAGGAAAAAAAATATTTGGGTAAATCTTCATGTCTTGTAGAGGGAAATCGCTAGTTAATAATTTTTTTTTTTTTTTTAGTTTTCATTTCCTTTGGAGAATGTGATAATAAATTCGCAGCTGGCCTTTTGAAGATTTTAAAAGTTGAGGTCAACCAGGCATTTCTAGTTTTTTTTTTTTTTAAAGATTTGGTTTATTCATTTGACAGAGACAGTGAGAGAGGGAACACAAGCAGGGGGAGTGGGAGAGGGAGAAGCAGGCTTTCCGCGGAGCAGGGAGCCCGATGCGGGGCTCGATCCCAGGACCCTGGGATCATGACCTGAGCCAAAGGCAGATGCTTAACGACTGAGCCACCCAGGCACCCGGCATTTCTAGTTCTACTTTCTGTTTTGAATTTACTTTAGTTCAAGATCTTTCTGGGCTTTTGTTAATTTGGGCATTAGTTAAAACCAGAGCCCGGTGGAATAAAGCTGCTTTGGCAAAGGTTCACAGTTCTCTCTGCTACTTTCCAGCTGTTGAAACCATCAGAGCCTGTCTACTATTACCAAATGTCTTGCCCTACATCAAATACCATGTATGAGGGGGAAGTTTTTTTTCCTCAAAATGTCAGTTTTTCTCTAATTTTAAAAGTAATGCATATGTATTGTAAAAACAGTTTTTAAAAAATATAAAATAGCATAAAAATTGAAAAACATTCATAATACACTAAGGGATAACTGGTATTAACTCACATACATCCTTCTTGACCAACTAACATCCTTTCCTTCCCTGCTGTGGTGTGTGTGTATGAGCGAGAGAGACACTAATAAAAGGGGCTTGTGCTGTAATTGTGGTTTTGTATCTGCTTTTAACTTAATAAATTGTGGATGCTTTACATGTTAGTAAATAAAAATCCACATCATCATTTTAATGACTACATAGTATCTCATCATATAGATATGTCATCATTTATTTAAATTATTCCCTAAATGATGACTGTTCCAACTATGCTATGATAAATATATTTTGCCAAACATTCTTGTATATTTGCCTGATTATCTTCTTAGGATAATATATTTCTAGAAGGGGAATTTGTGGGTCAGATTAGGCACACTTACCAAAGGTTGGAAGGGTACTCTCACTGCATAGGGTACAAGTGCTCATTTTCCCACCCCCTGCCAATCCTGCCCTCTGAGGTTCTGCCTTAGATGCAGGGCAGTTCTGAAAGACTTATATCCTCCTGATTGCCAAGAAGCGCTTTCTGGAGGCACTGGGAGGCAGAAAAAGCTGCCACAGCCTGGGCCACTCTCCTGGACAACCTTAGGGGCCATTACCTTCCATCAGCCAACCCTATCTCCCACGGCCAACAGAACACTCAAGAAGACAGTATAGCACAAAGGTCAGATAAGGTGCTGAGGGCTTAGCTGGGGGAGTACAAAGAGTGACCATCCAGCAAGGGGCAGGCCTTGCTACTTCCTCTCTTAGTGTCGGTGTAATGTTAAGATGCTATTTGTCTAGAGTAAAATAAATATAAAGTATATAAGATATAGTACAAAATAAAAATAATTGATATTGTTGTGGACACTATAAGTCCTTTGTATGTACACACAAAGTTGAATAGAACTTTTAGAACACCAATATTTAAAAAAATAATAACTGGATGGGGCATATTTAATTTGTTCTTAGAGAAATCTCCAGAGTTGGCCAGTCTTTATTCTAGGGAAGCTATATATGGCGAGCTAAAGAACTAAGAGAACAGCTCATCAGATCAAGCCATTTAATGAGTATGGGCAAAGTACCAAGGAGTTTTAGGTTTCTTTAAATATGCCCAGTGGTATTTGTTACAGGTTTGTGGTGTGAAGTACAAATAATGTTTATGGCTCTGCTCTTTATTTTTACTGCTAATTGTCTCCTCCCCACTGTCACACAGAGTTTTCCATTGTGATCCCCACTCCAACTTTTGAATGTTTTCTTTTCTAATTTTTCCATCTGGCTCCTTACAAAAGGGTTTGATCTCTGGAGTGAGGAGAGTAATTTGTGGCTGTTGCCAAGCTTCTTTCTGTATCACTGCTGTTCACACAGGTTTGACGAGAAGAGAGCAGTGCAGCAGCTGAGAGCATGCGGCGTCCTGGAAACCATCCGCATCAGTGCAGCGGGCTTCCCCTCACGGTGAGCGTGGCAGGTTTCCTATGGAAGGGATCCTCTGGGAGAGATTCTTACCTCTTCCAGTAAGCTGATGTGAGTTTTTTTATATAGGTGGACTTACCAAGAATTTTTTAGCCGCTACCGTGTCCTAATGAAGCAAAAGGATGTGCTGAGTGACAGAAAGCAAACGTGCAAGAATGTATTAGAGAAACTGATACTGGTAAGAAAGATCTTCATTTAACTTCATCTGAACAGATACTGGCCAAAGGCCTTATGATTGTAACATTTCAAAGCCCTGGAGAATCCAAATACCACTAATCCAGATTATTCGGGGTTGGGAGGGTGGGGAGGGCACACTGTCTTAGAGGTCAAGGCTCCCTGTGCTTAGGATGCTAGACCTAGTGAGGGGATGGTCTACTGTCAGGGAACAGGATGGTGAGGTCTGGAGAGGTCTGGACCCAGACTTGAGACGCACTCCTTTTAGAGATTGATTATTATCAATAAAAGTTCATCTCATACTTATTTATGGAAGATATCAGGCCAGATACTATGTGATTAAGAAAAAACAAGTCTTGTCCTAAGATAACATAGTCTCTCTTGGAAATTCATGCATTTTATTTAATTAATTAATTAATTAATTTATTTATTTTTAAAGATTTTATTTATTTGACAAAGAGAGACACAGCGAGAGAGGGAACACAAGCAGGGGGAGTGAGAGAGGGAGAAGCAGACTTCCTGCTGAGCAGGGAGCCCGATGCGGGGCTCGATCCCAGGAACCTGGGATCATGACCTGAGCCGAAGGCAGACGCTTAATGACTGAGCCACCCAGGTGCCCCGGAAATTCATGCATTTTAGAGATAAGTATAATATGCCTTAGTGTCTATCAAATACTAAAAAAATCAGAGGAAGACAAAGCCACATGTGCTATGGGAAGGAGGAACAATTCCATGGAAGAGGTGTGTTTTGAGTTAGGCGCTGAAGAATTGGTGAGATTGTATAAAAGTAGGACATCCTAATAGGGAGCAAGGTGTGAAGAAGTAGGAAAGCATAGAATTTGCTCAGAAAACAGTAAAGTATTTTTTTTCTTTTGTTGTTTTTTTTTCCCCAGTATAAGACTGATGTATGGGACAGTAGGGATTTAGTTAAGAAATGTAGGTTGGTGTTTGAAAAGTCTTGTATGCCAAACTAGGGAGTTCTTAAACTTCAGAATGCATCAGAGTCATCTGGACAGCTTGTTAAAATACAGATTGCTGGTCCCCAGCCCACAGAATTTTTGATTCAGTAGGTCTGGGATGGGCCCAATAATAATGTGCCTTTCTAACAAGTTCCCAAGTGATTGTGATGCTGGTCTGAGGACTCCATTTTGAGAACAGGTAATCTAGTTCACGAGGAATTTAAGATTCATGAAAGGTTTTTTTAAAAAATATTTTCACTTGGGCGCCTGGGTGGCTCAGTTGGTTAAGCGACTGCCTTCGGCTCAGGTCATGATCCCGGAGTCCCTGGATCGAGTCCCGCATCGGGCTCCCTGCTCGGCAGGGAGTCTGCTTCTCCCTCTGACCCTCCCCCCTCTCATGTGCTCTCTCTCATTCTCTCTCACACAAATAAATAAATAAAATCTTAAAAAAAAAAAAATATTTTCACTTGTTTTATACTAGTTTGAATGGATTACCTCACTTTGAGGTAATTAGTCCTAATTACTAACTATTAAGTAAATGTGATATCTCTTCTTTGGTGATAATAACTTTTTTTTTTTGGAAGAACTAAGGCCACTTTCTTAGTAATGTGTAAAAAGAATCGCGCTTTTGGGTTTGGACCAACACCTTTCTAACCTAGGTTCAGATGGGAATGGAGAGCAGAAAGTAAGGACAGCCCTACACCCAGACCATGTTGTCACCCAGACCACACCAGGCCTGGCTCAGGGCTGTGCAGGGCGTGGGTGTGATAGAGGAGGCTCACGGCAGAGGAGAGCAGGGCTGGAGTGGGGAAGCTGAGATGGGACAGGGAGAGGGAGAGAGGAGCCACCTTCTTGCTCTGCTTGTGTCTCCAGCTAAGCTGCCTATGTAAACTCTGGATTTAAATTAAAATAGTTTTAGATGTTTTAGGTATATATAGAAATTTCTGATTTTTCTGGGTTCACATACAAGATAGGAGACACCTGTTTACCCTGAAAAGTGATTTTCTTTGTTTTCCCTTAGAATTTCAGATCATGGTAGTGATTATTATAAATAAATTCCTCTCTTCTTTTGACATGAGCATGATTAATAACCTGCATCCTTCTAGATAAGGTGGATAAGACTGTGGTAGACCAAAAATAGCATGCATGCCTGTATTTACTGCTCCACTCTGCTTGTAATCCAAAGTCGATGAGCAATACAAGTGATTATGTTCTTATAAAAGGAGTTTTGAAATTCATGGAAGGATTTTAGATACATTTATAGGGTTGTGTTTGTACTGTTGATTAAAGGCAACAGATAACTGTTGCAAATTTAACTCTTGATCAGAATACGCCAAGTTTTTTGTTGTTCAATTCTTATTTTGTGTGCGTGGCTTCCTGCCTTATTCTTCGTGCTGGTGTTTTTGTCCCTTCAGCTTTCTCATGGAACATACAGCCCGATGTAATGCTTACAGCCTGAGTCAGTCAGAGAGAGTGTCATCATCTCCATTTCTTTGAGATATTTAAAATCCAAACACGCAAATAATAACTGCATATAACCCACAACCAAGTTTTTGGCCTCAGATAATAATTTCCAGGTAGAATGATTCTGGAAAATAACTCTTAAACTGCAGTTTTCCTTAAAATCCCTTCTATTTGCTCAACTTGCCAAGGATAAGAAATCCTTCTCCATTAGTTAATTGTGATGTAGCCCAAGTTTTAGCTAATAGATTCATCCCTTTACTGATTCTGCTTTTAGACTTATTTTTTTCTCTTTTAGAGGTTCATTTATATGGTCATCATTTCTACTTCTGAGTGTACAATTTCTTCCAAAAAATAGGACAAGGACAAATACCAGTTTGGTAAGACAAAGATCTTTTTCCGCGCTGGTCAAGTGGCCTATCTAGAGAAACTGAGGGCAGACAAGCTGAGGGCTGCCTGCATCCGGATCCAGAAGACCATCCGAGGGTGGCTGCTGCGAAAGAAGTACCTGCGCATGCGGAAGGCGGCCATCACTGTGCAGAGATATGTGCGAGGCTACCAGGCCCGATGGTAGGTCTCTTGGTGGCCTGTCCAGCCTGACTCATGGCCCCTGAGCTTGGACAGCTCACCTGGTTCCTTGTCCAACCGATGACAGTTTTCGGTGGTCTTAATATTTGAGAAGGCCACACCCCACCTCTTCTTAGTTTCAAAGAATAACAGATTTACTCACAAGACAGTTAAATAGAATAAAATTTCACTCACCCTATTATGAATCATTTGGATTCATCTTCAAAAAAATTACTAATTACTGCCTACTCGTGTCCTCCGTATTTTTTATTTTTTTGTACTTTTATGTGGGCTTGAAGGAATCATCTGTAAATTAAAACAGTCATGAATATGTGCTAGTTAATAATGATTCCACTGAGGAGTTTTCAGGAGCAATTAGCTGAGAAGATCTGGAGGAGAATGAGACTTCAGTGTGATTTACATATGAGGATAATTTTAATTTAGAACTCTCAGTAGAGATGAATTGATGGTGAAGAACTTATGCCCAAACAGATAGATTAGGGAGAAACATCCCACGTTAGCAATGGCTAGATGTAAGAAAGCTGGTGGTAAGTAAGTTTGGGATTACTGTGGACAGCCAGTCAGCTGTGTAAAGGGGACATAGCCTGGGGTAATGAGCACCGTCCTAGAAAGAGAGAACCTTTTTGAGCTGCACTTTCTTTATTGTCCCATATCAAGGAATATGGGACATCCTACTTTTCAGGGTTAGGGCAGACTCAAATCAGATAAGGAATGCAAAAATGTTTAGGGGAACTATAAATTGCCATACAAATATAAGTGATTTAACTTATACTAATATTAGAATAATAACAAGGGAGGTACTACTTATTATGCTAACAATAACAGCATATATTGGTGCTTCAAGTCTCTACAGGTTGTGGTCCTGCGTTTGTCTGATTACTGACTGTGCACCCCTCTTCTCTTTGGCCAGCTATACTAAGTTCCTGCGCAGAACCAAGGCAGCAACCATTATTCAGAAGTACTGGCGCATGTACGCAGCCCGCAGGAGATACGAGATAAGACGATCGGCCACTATTGTTCTTCAGTCTTATTTGCGAGGTTACTTGGCCAGAAATAGATATCGCAAGGTGAGGCATTACTTCCAACTTTGTTTATTCATTCCATTAACATTAATCAAATTCCAGATTTGTACAAAATACCACAGGGCTTCCTGTGGACATAGGAACTGAATGGAGACAACCAACAATTGAAATATATTTTAAAATATTAAATAAGTACATTTATTTATAAGTTTTTTAAATTAACATATAATGTACTATTTGTTTCAGGGGTTCAGGTCTGTGATTCATCAGTCTTACACAATTCACAGCACTCACCATAGCACATACCCTCCCCAATGTCTATCACCCAGCCACCCCATCCCTCCCACCCCCCACCACTCCAGCAACCCTCAGTTTGTTTCCTGAGATTAAGAGTCTCTTATGGTTTGACTCCCTCTCTGGTTTCATCCTGTTTCAAAGTACATATATGTATTAACAGGATAGTGGAAAAATACCTTCCTTTTTCCCCCTTATCTATGTAATTTGAAAAAAAGTGACTATATTAGTTTCCTTTGGCTGCTGTGATAAATTACCAACAACTAGGTGGCTTAAAACAACAGAAATTTTTACTCTCAGAGTTCTGAGACCAGAAGTCTAAAATCAGTAACACTGGACCAAAATCAAGGTGTCAGCAGGGCTATACTCTCTCCAGAAGCTCTAGGAGAGAATCTGTCTCTTGCCTCTTCTGGCTTCTGCCAGGGGGCTGCCACTATCCCTTGTGTTTGTGGCCACATCACTCCAACCTCTGCCTCCATCCTCACATCATCTTCTCTGTGTGTCTAACTTCGCTTCTCTTGTCTGTCTCTTCCGAGAATGCTGGTGATGGATTTGAGGCCCACCTGGATAATCCACGATAATCCCCCTATCTCAAGACCCTTAATTTTTTAAAAAAGATTTTATTTATTTGAGAGAGAGAGAGCATGAGAGAGAGTGCAGAAGCAGGGGGAGGGTGAGGGATAAGCGTACTCTGTGCTCAGCATGGAGCCTGAAAGCAGGGCTCGATCCCACAACCCTGAGATCACGACCTGAGCCGAAATCAAGAGTTGGAAACCCAACCGACTGAGCCACCCAGGCACCCCAAGACCCTTAATTTAATCACATCTGCAAAGACCCTTTTCCCAAATAAGGTAATCTTTACAGGTTCCAGGGATGAGGATCTGATGTCCTTGGGGGCCTTTATTCAGCCGACTGTGATGAGCTTTGAATAGGTAGAATATATGACAGATGGGTGGAAGATCATACCAAGAATGAAACAACCTTAGAAGAATTTAACATGGTGAAAAGGAACTAAATTGCATTAATGTGGTGCTCCAACAATTTTTGACAAATAATCTTTATATCTAGCAATAATCAACATGACTATAAAGGATCACCAGATAAATCTTAATCCTTACCTCTGACAGTATGTGATCTAATTGATGGAAGATTTTTCTCTCTTGTTTTGGCAAGGTTTTGAGTTTGTCTTTAAGGTATATTCTCAATAAGCCAGAAATACAGTCTGGATCTTAGAGCTCAGTGGGCATCACTGTTAGAAGGAGCATCAGTAGAGTGATTTGAGGGACATGTCTCTGGTCACAAGTAGTGCATAGGTGTGGCCAGGTCCTATTTATGTGTTCATCTTCCTTTCTTATTTTGAAATAATTTTATTTATTTATTTTTTAAGATTTTTTATTTATTTATTCATAAGAGACAGAGACAGAGGCAGAGGGAGAAGCAGGCCCCCGCTGAGCAGGGAGCCCAATGCAGGACTCGATCCCAGGACTCTCGGTCATGACCTGAGCCGAAGGCAGGCGCTTCACTGACTGAGCCACCCAGGCGCCCTTGAAATAATTTTAGACAACAAAGAAAAATGGAGAGTTAATGAGGCTTGAATGAGTAAAACACATATAGCTGTGTTTTGAAGAAAATTTATGAAGACAGCTTCTCCAGGTCTTTCTCTCTGCCCACACCTTCTGGTGCTCTTTCTCTACAGGCATGAGCTTTCAGGGAGGGGAAAAGACTTATTAAATTTGACCTTTTAGATACAACAAACTGGTTACCCTCCCGTTTTCCTCAGGAACATCTGAACTGGGCTGTGAGGCCATCGGTTTAGCAGAGGCTCTGGCCAGCTCAGCTCCCACAGTGACTGGACACAGTGGGGGTGGCAGGTTAGAGGCCAGCTCACATACAGGCCAGTAGCACCCCGTCAGTGCTCCTAGCTTTGTCTAGTCCAAGCCTCCCCTTCGTGGGATTTGGGCATCTTAAAGGGAGAGCAGGTGTCATTTAATTTCTCTGACTCACTGATGGATATGAGATTGAGGGTGGAATCTCTAATTATATGCTGTTTCCATTTGACTGAAATTTCAGAAATGGACCAGTGTCAGAAGTAACATGGAGAGAAGGAAATGGCATAGGAAAATTGGCATTAATAGCTTTGCCACTGTGTGCTGAGTTTTAAAGTCTGAAAGCCTTCAGTTTCCATCACTGAGTCTTATCCATTTTGTCGCTAGTCATCCAGACAAGGGGCTCCCTCAGGATTGTGATGCTCAGTGAGACCTCGGTCTGCTCGCCTCGCTGCAGCATGATACACGCTGACTGGCTGACTGAGCGGAGACTGAAGGCTGCCTTGGCATTAGGAGAACAGCCGGAAAGGGCAGCCTTCAATTGCCAAAGAGACTGTTAAGGTCGCCTAAACACCTATGACTTTTTTTTGTATTGAAAACTTAGCCACTTATTAAATGTATTCTCTAGAACGTTACATTTTTTCTTTGTTAAATAATCCAAAAACAGGAGCTATTCTTCTACCAATTTTATCAAACTACTGTCTATTTGAATAGTTTTAGAGATTTTTACATATAAAAGTTTCATAAGAGGTACATTATATCCATTTATAGTAATTGTTAATACTTAAGTACATACATTTAAATATCAGTTACATCACATGGTAGTTATTCCATAAAATCAGACTTAGAAGGACCTCAAGGTTTTGCTAGTTTAACCTTTCTTAAATTTCAAGAATTTTTTTTTAATTCAAGAACTTTTTCTTTATCATTTCTGGAAATTGTTTATATAATCCCTACTTGATGGTCATTACTGACAATTTCATCTCATAAGGTAACCTTGTTATAAGTTGTTTGTAAGTTTAGGGGAATATCCTCTTTCTTTCTTTTCTTTTCTTTTTTTTTTTTTTAGAAAATACAATATAAAATCAAAATTAAGATTAGTTCATTTCATCTTTTATTTTTCTTTTAAAGCTCCATCCCTACCACCTTTGAATTCCATACGTGGATTCCTGCTACATTTGAAATAACAATGGGAAATCCTCACTAAAATGGTATTCCTCAAATATGGCAAACAAGAGTGTCATTTTTTTTGTTTTTTTGGGGGGAAAGTCAATAAATCAGTAATAAACCTTGTAGTACCTCTAGCATTGGCTTCTACAGTCAGCTTACTGGTCATACCTCATGTCTTCAAGCACAGGTTTGTGATATGTAAAATCCATCTAGTACATTATTGGTTCAATTTTTTGTATCCTTCCCTTTAGGCAGCATATGGATTCTCAGCCTGACATACCTGGGTTGATAACGTTGAACCTCGAGTCTGGTCCAGGGTCTGACATTACCTGTACTTATCTTTCTCTGCAGATGCTCCGTGAGCACAAAGCAGTTATCATTCAGAAGTGGGTCCGGGGCTGGCTGGCTCGCACCCACTACAAGAGGAGCATGCATGCCATCATTTACCTTCAGTGTTGCTTCCGGCGGATGATGGCCAAGCGCGAGCTGAAGAAGCTCAAGATCGAGGCCCGCTCCGTGGAGCGCTACAAGAAGCTCCACATTGGCATGGAGAACAAGATCATGCAGCTGCAGCGCAAAGTGGATGAGCAGGTATGTTTTACTCAGGAGCCCCGGGAGTGGGGCCTGCTAAGGAACTCCACTGGATTATTTTCAGCAGTGTCTCCCCTTAACTTTACTTTTCAATCATAGCAAAAAAAAGTAAAATATTAATGACATTAATATCATTATGGAAATAGTGACAAGCTCATAGGTAAGATTATACTTGCAAGGATGAAGGGAGGAAATTATTCTGAGAACATAGACCTACTAGCACTCCAAACCTTTATGACCAAGAGTCATATTGTACTTTATACTGTATAAATCTCTTTCATCATTATCATTCATTTGCATTAAGTATAAGGTTCCTTTTACAGATGAGTTGTTCAGCATTGAGATATGGTAAAAGAGGCAGGAAGATGTCCATGCTTCTGAGGAATGTACAGTCTATTTGCAGGGATAAAATTTGATTTCCTAGAGATAGTTACTAAGTAATATTTTAGCACATGCAAACAATATAATAGTAATTAGTAATACATAAACACTGAGGAGGGCAAAAAAACAAAACAAAACAAAACAAAAAACCCCAGAAAACAGAATAAAGGGGATTCATCAGGAAGAGGGAGGAGTTCATCTGAGTGGGAAGAGTTTTGAGGTAATAAAGAGATTTGTAAGTAACTTGTGATTTTGAGGCCATCTTATTATCATTTTTCTGAATCACCTGGCTAGCATATGGCTTTCAGTAGAACACTGATGTATTTTCAAAAGCAAGTATAGATTTTTCTATTTCTGGTTTAAGAATCAGGAAATTAAGAATTTACTGTAGTAACTCACCTTGTGACCATGAGAAAATCACATCTGTATTGCTCATGATGTAAAACAGAATTAATTCTGCCTGTTCTCTTCTCTCTTTATGTCACTTCAAGAGGGTATTGATTGTAAAGGTTGTGGTTAATATTTTGTTTAGTTATGGTATCAATGCTATGATGATATAGCATGAATATGATGAATAAATATGTTTTCTCAAAATACACTTGATATATATATATGTTTACTTATTGTTACTTATATGTGTGTTTAAAAGAACAAAGACTACAAATGCCTCATGGAGAAACTGACCAATCTGGAAGGAATATATAACTCTGAGACCGAGAAACTACGAAGTGACTTAGAGCGTCTCCAACTAAGTGAGGAGGAAGCTAAGATTGCTACTGGACGGGTCCTCAGTCTGCAGGAAGAAATTGCCAAGCTCCGGAAAGACCTGGAACAAACTCAGTCGGAGAAAAAATCCATTGAGGAGTGTGCAGATAGATACAAACAGGAAACCGAGCAGGTAGGAACTAGTTTTCATATCCCCATCTACTCCTTTCACAGAGGAAATGTGCTGTCGTCATGACCTGGCCCATGTGGCTCAAGGTTGGTTTCAATTGAAGGTGAAATACAAATGTTTGTTTATTGTTCATTATTAGTGTTTTCCAAGCATGTCTCCCACAGGATGGATGAGTAGTTGTAGGTCTTTTAGTAGAACCTTTGGACTCTAGTAAGAACAGAGGCAAAGTAGTATTGTAAGAAGAGAATTAATGGCTAAGTGCGTACTCTACATTCTTTTTCTTTAAATACATAGGCCTGGATGAAGTGTAGACTCCTTTTTCTTCAAAAGGGTTAACATGATTAAGAAGCCAATCAACAAGTGAAATGTCATTAGCTGATAATAGAGATCTTTATAGAAACCTGCATTAAGGCTGTGTGAGAAGTCCAAGTGGGAAAAATCCAAATGTCTGCACACTGATTATAGCCAAGGGCTGCTATGCAGATAGAAAAACAACAATAGTGCTTATAGATTTGTGCTTTTACATTACAAATTTATATCAAAGTTTGTATCAAAACTTCATTAAATACAAAAAACATTAAGGTTCTCAAGCAGCAATGCAATGTATTGTTTAAAATAAAAGTACCTCAACATAAAGCTTATTTGAAAACCGTGATAGATTTTCATAAATTCCACTAGTATTACCATCTTTAAATGAAAACAAAGTTGATTGTTGGCTGTGACTATTGGCAAGACTCTCAATTTCCTGTGCTTTTTCTCTACTAACTTCTGAATATATTTTTTTAAGATTTTATTTATTTGAGAGAATGCATGCACGGGGTAAGGGGCAGAGGGAGAGAGAGAGAGAGAAACAGACTCCCCACTGAGCATGGAGCCTGACACGGGGCTCAGTCTCACAACCCTGAGATCATGACCTGAGCCCAAACCGAGAGTCAGACTCTTTCTTAACCTACCTGCACCACCCAACTGAATATTAACACAGCCCTCTTTCTCTGTCTCTGAACTCCTGATAACTTTCTCTTTATTATTAAAGCTATTGCTTTAACATGTGACTCTTGATCTTGGGGTCATAGTTTGAGCCCCACGTTAGACATAGAGCTTACTTTAAAAAGAGGAAGGAAGGGAGGGAGGGAGGGAGGGAGGAAGAAAGGAAAAAAAGCACGTTGTTAGGGGAGATGAACCATGAGAGACTATGGACTCTGAGAAACAAACTGAGGGTTCTGGAGGGGGGTGGGGGAATGGGTTAGCCTGGTGATGGGTATTAAATAGGGCACGTTCTGCATGGAGCACTGGGTGTTATATGCAAACAATGAATCATGGAACACTACATCAAAGACTAATGATGTAATGTATGGTGATTAACATAATAAAATAAAATTTAAAAGAGTTCCTTGAATTTATGCTTAGAGACAGGAATTCAAATTTTACTCATCACAAGCACACATTTATGTCAAAAATGAACTAAGTAAACTATAAACTTTGCAAAATTTACCTTTGGTTTTGATTTTTGCTTCCTGGGAATCCTCATCCAAATGGGAACTAGAAAGTGAAAGGTCAATGTGTTTTGTTTGTGTGTGCGCGCGTGCGTGTGTGTGTGTGTGTGTGTGTGTGATTGGGGGCAAAATATACATATATATAACATAAAATTTACCACTTTAACCATTTTTAAGTGTACAGTTTTGTGACATTACTTTCACAGTGTTGTAAGGCCAGTGCTTACACATGGAATAAAAGGACTAGTTTGCAAACTTGTAAAACTCTTAAGAGGAGATGAAAGGGAAATTCTCTTTCTCAAGACAGACAGCAGGGAGCTTCAGAAGGAATCCGGCGAATTCCAGAACCAAAATGCCCTTCATATCTTTCTTAACCTCCTTCATCTCTCTTAATACCTGAATCATCAATACACATAAGCTTTGTGTTAGGCTGTTGAGGTGAGAAGGCATTTTCATTCTTTTAAGAGCAAATGCTTATTAGGTGCCAGGCAGTTGCTAAATGCTCAAGGTACAAAGTAAAACAACAGCAATTATGTCCATCGTCCAGGAATTGCTAGGCTATTTAGGGAAGTAAAAGTAAATCATTTATAAGGGCTATAACGAGGCACATACAGGGTCCTGTAGGAGAGACACCTAATTGGAGGGGGTTTCCAGGAAGGCTCTCTGGAGGGGGTAATGCTTGAGCCAAGTTCAAAAAAATGACTACATGGACCTACACAAAGAAATGAGGCGCAGAGATGTGGAAGTAGGAGGGCCTGTGGTGTGGTCTTTATATTCAGTACTGGGTGTCCTCTACCTACTGCAGCCATCTGAGTTGACTGTTTTATTTTATAGCTGGTATCAAATCTGAAGGAAGAAAATACTTTGCTGAAGCAGGAAAAAGAGGCCCTCAATCATCTTATCGTGGAGCAGGCTAAGGAGATGACAGGTAAGGCTCACGTGGGTATAACCTACCGTACTCCAGCCAACCTTAGATCAAAGTTTTATATGTTACAACTTTGCTTAGAACTGAAATGTTTTAAACAATTGAGATTGTCATCAGTAAATTTATGAAGTTCCAAGAGGCAAGCACCATAAATATTTTGGTTGATTTAGTTGATGAACTTGTAAATCTGGTCTTTCTATGTACAAATGTGAATTCATGTATAGTCAATATCTTATGTAATATTTTAAAAATTAATTTTGTTCTGCATGTATGATTTATTAGTTATGACTTAGAGGATTCTATTGAATTAGGAAGAAATCATGAGCTAATACATATATATATATGTGTGTCTACATGTATTTATTTATTTTTTGCTAAACCAGTGGATATTATCCTCCCAAGATCAATTACTCTTTTCCACCTAAAAGAAAAAGGCAACTCTAATTTTTTGAATAGAGAACTAAGTAGATGTGAACATTTATTCTATTAGATATTTGTGAGATAGATAAGAATGATGATAATTTACAAGGAGTCTACATATATATAAATGTGGGCTAAGAAGATACAGATTGAAGCTATAGTAATTGGTGGTGGAGACAGAGAGAAAGAGATGGATTGGAGTGAGGATATAGTATATGAAAAGAACCACCAGAATGTTATCCTTTTTGATGTGGTATTCAATATAAAGTTTTGAGATGAGGTATTCCAACAATAATGGTGTATTATTATTGACGAGGAAATTGAGGGAGAAAAGTACCTATTTATGAGTAAAATTAATGAGATCAGTTGTTAGAGCATTAAATTTTGGATGTCAGCTAGGGCCTCCAAAAAGAGATGTCCTGAAAACAAATTGAGATTAAAGATTAGAGACAGGAAGAAATAGGCCTTAAGGTACCCACTAAAGCTTTGTTGAGATGATAAGAGAACCCTTTGTGCTCCCCCCGCCCCCCACTACCTCCTTCCTCCCAATTGAAGGGCATAATGTAAAGACAAGGGAAGAAATCTGGAATTAAGCCTTATAGGATGACCATAAGTAAAGGATAAAGTGAAGAAAAGAAACTAGAAAAAAAAAATTGATAGGGGATAGTAAAAACAGTCACTGAAGACATGGAAAGAAGGCTGCTAGGATGCAGAATATGATGGAAAGGTCCAGAATGATGAGAATACTTGAAATTGGATGAGAAGAACGAAGAACATTGGATTTGCCTAGGGAAAATTTCTTGGTAGCCTTATGCAGCTTCTGCAAATTGGTGAGAATGAAAGACAATTTACAGAATGTTATAGGGAGAAGAAATTCTTTCATTCATTCATTCACACATCATTAAAGCCCTACATTAGGGAAACACTGTGGAGGGCACCAGGGAAGCAGTTGTGACAAGACACCTGCAGCCCTCGCCCTTATGGAGCTGCCAGGGAAATAAATGGTGAAGCAATCGAAGCAGGCAGCGCAGCCTGAGATTTAGCCACGAAACATGAGAATAAAATGGGCCATATAAATATCAGGAAGCTTAATATTCATAAATGTGACTGGTGGACTCATTTAGGTAAAACATACAGCTGAGATCTGAGTCTGTTTACTTTGCTTTATCTGCAGTCCGGGGCTTATCTCTCATCTCCAGATGATGTCCCAGGCAAATGCGAGCCACTGACAACAGAGACAGCAGAGTGAGGTGGGAAATGGAAAGGTCAGGGTACCCCCAGCAGCACACAAGAGAAGTAACAGCACCGATGACCAGCACTGGGGTCTTATCTGGTTAGAAACTGGGGAGTAATAGGACCGTGGTGGTTCAACATTGTTCAATAGTATAAGATCTCAGCCTGGGGACTGAGGTGAGCGAAGAGTTTGACCTAGGATATAGGACAGCTGGGTTCATTGAGAAGTCGCCACTCCCTCAGAGATTCGAGAAGTATCTAATTTGTAGAAAAGAATTTTATGATAGCCTGAAACAGAATATTGGAATAAAAAATACTTTCATTATTAAACAGTGACTAGTGGGAGTTCATCAAGGATGTGCTCTAACTGGTGAATGGACTAGTGGCACTGTGTCCATAGTACATGGGAGAACTCAGTAGATGATTGTTGTTATTAACAAACTACTTTTTTTGTCATGATGTTTGCTTTCCCTGCATTCACTAAAGTACTCTTCATAGTTCATGGTGCTAAAAGTAAAACCCTTTGCAGAGAAGCTGGAAGTCAGTGTACATGTTTGTCCTCTTGAGTTCCGTAGAGCCATCTTTGTTATGCTTTCCCCTCTTTCTTTCAGAGACTATGGAGAAGAAGTTAGTAGAAGAAACAAAACAACTGGAACTCGATCTTAATGATGAAAGGCTGAGATACCAGAACCTTCTGAATGAGTTCAGTCGCTTAGAAGAACGCTACGATGACCTCAAGGAAGAGATGACTCTGATGGGGGTGAGTCAAACACTTGCTTTTTTAAAAATGAAAACATTTAAGCACATACAATAGCAGGTGGACTAGTGGAATGAATCGCCATGTACTTCATGTACTCATTACCCAGTTCCAAAACAGTCCACACATTTCTACCCCTACTCTATCTCTCCTTCCCACCCCATCCAATGGTTTGAGTTGTTGTAAAGCAGATCCCACAAATCATATAACTTTATTCATGAATACTTTGTAAAGTCAAATACTTTAAAGACTGGGCTATGGGTTTTGTCATATGTATTGAACAACTTCATGTAAAATTTGCATATAAAGCAAATATTTATATAATTATTTCCTTTACTTTTTTTTGTTATGATTTCAAAGATATATTCCTACAAAAAGAAAATTCAGTCTCTATTTGTAACAAATTATCTTGTCTATTTCAAGAACTCTTCTGCATCTACCAACATACCTCTTGTACTTTTAATAGTTCTACACAGCCTCTCTGTTCTAATTCTCCGACTGTCAGGAAACAGAGAGTTCCCTAGCTCTCTTGTTCCCTGTAAGTATCAGCCTTGAAGGTAACCTAATGGTACAGATGGCTAGAAATGCTCTGAAATATCTCTTACAAAAACAAGATAATCTGATATCTGTGGCATAGAATATTTGCTTCAAATTTTGCTTCTATCTGGATCCTTTGACAACATTTTTTTAAATGTGACATTTAAAAAGTCAAAATAAAGGAGTTACGTAACACAAAAGAAATCAATTTGTCACCTGGGAGAGAGAAAACCTAGTCTCAAAGAGGTTAAAAAGCTAATTTAAATGCCACAGTTGGACTGTTATTTCAAACCTTGCTACTCTATCCTGATTTATATGTGACAAAGTGAAGTTAGAAGTAGGAGTAGGTCACCATTACACTTATTGACAAACCAGAAGGACCCTCATTAGGTCTTGTCTTCCTTGATCTCCCTGAGGCACTGGGCCTTGTTGAAATCTTTCCTCCTTCACATTCTCCCATTCTTAGCTTTCTCTAGAGTCCTTTTCCTCTGTCTTTGAATATCATGTTCCCCAGAGTTCCATTCTTGGGTGTATTTTAATTCTGTTTACTAGATAACCGGGCCAACATTTGTGGTGAATCTATGCTTTGGTTATGGTTAGAGCTAAGCTTCATGTCCCACGAGGTGTTTCGAGAGCCACTGGTTACTTGGGATATTAAGAAGTGGCATTGGGAAAAGAAATGATTGGGGTCATATAAATGTGGGCATCACTAGTCGAAACAGAGATAAACAGATTGTTTTTCCTACAGAATTTCTTGGATTCTTTAATACTGCATGCCTTGCTAAAAAAAAAAAAAATACTGCATGCCTTGTGAGCCTCAGAAAATAGAATGAGAGAAGCACATGCCATGTATACATCACTTTCTGAGCACATTCCCGGAAATATCTGTGAGGTTAATGGGTCTCCTCTTTAGAGAAGTAGCCATGTCCAGAAAAGACCCTCCAGCAGTAGTGGCCATCCTCCAGCAACTTAGCAGGGCTGTTCCTTCCCACTGGGCAAGTCTCTGCCTGCTAGCCATTCTGTTCCCAGCAATGTGGTGGAAAAAAGCTGTAATCAAGTTCCGGGGGCCGTTCAGCTGCTTGATTTCTGACTTCTCAGCCTATAATCCTCTCCCCTGTATGCCTGTGACTCATGTCATTCCTCTTGGTTAACAAAATGGTCAGACGGAGGGAAAAGGAAAACAGCAGAAGAAGGAAGATCAGAGTCTGCTTGCTTCCTTCTCAGCTCTTCATTAGGTCTCCTTTCATAGCTCCAGATGCAGTCAAGATTGTAGTCTTTGCAGAAGATGTTTTCCAAGAATTGCAGTGAATAAAAAAAATGGACTTTATAATATAGGATTAATTAAATAATAGCAATATCTTATTTTAGAGTTTAGGTAGAAACTTCACACCTGCAGATGGGTACTTGGCTAATATTTCATTGACACTGTTCTGCAGGTGGAGCCCTCACCGCCACAGTGCTTAGGAAGCATCTTGTGGTAAAGAGACTCCTCAGATGGATGGCAGGGAACTTTAGGGAGGGGAATTGATAGACTGCCTCAGGACTTCTGGTAATCTGTGTAATTCATGGGCCAAAGTTCATGCCGCTGATTACCAGGGTCTAGATTTGTTGGCCCTGGTACCAAGAAGTGTTGTAGGATTTTCCTCCAGGAACATTCAGTTGTAGAGTAGAGGCAAGGAAGAAAACACTAAATCCAGGGCCAAGGAAATTCAAGCAGACAGTGAAAGGATAATGAGGCAATGGAATGCAGGCTTGTGAAGTGTTTGAAGATTCATCCCAAGTAAGGAGGGAGTCCAGCATGTCAACAGTGGGGTCATTAACCTGGACAAAGGGAGTAAAACAGATTCAAGAAAAGAAGGAATTATTGGAGACATGACAGATTAAAAGAGGAGGTACGAGATACAGATCTTGAAGGAGCACTTGATGATCAATAGGATGTTTGTCCTTGTACTTGAATAGCATATGAGCTAAAAACTTGGGAAACAGAAGGCCATGCACAGGAGAGTTGTTGCATTACTGCAGGGTCCTAACAATGATGGCAGCATCCGCTCACATTAATTGAATTCTTGTTATATGCCAAGCACTATACTAACTCTTTACTTGCACTATCTTATTTAATCCTCACATAATCCCTATTAGGTAGATAATAGTATTATTCACCTTTTCCCGATGATGAAAGTGAGGCCTGGAGAAGTTGGGCTAGGGACAAGTAAGTGGCAGATCTGGAATTCCTACCTGGCTCTCTCTTAATTCAGACCCAGAGCGTTTAACCACTGCCCTGTATCCAAAAGTTACATTAAATAGCAAATATACAGTGTTGCTTCTATTCATACCTTAAGGTATTTGTTGTTTAGTAACACATACATGAGGGAAAATAGAAGTCTCACTCATCTTTAATAAGCTTATTAAAAAACCTTTGTCCAGGGCGCCTGGGTGGCTCAGTTGGTTAAGCGACTGCCTTCGGCTCAGGTCATGATCCCGGAGTCCCGGGATCGAGTCCCTCATCGGGCTCCCTGCTCAGCGGGGGGGCCTGCTTCTCCCTTTGACCCTATCCCCTCTCATG